AATACTGAGTTATGTCCTATTACACATGCTATGCCCCATATGGTCTAAAACCTGCAGGTGGACAAATCTAAGCTTGTTTTTAATAAAACAAATATAAATATGCATATAATAAATAATACTGCTAATATTAATAACATTATACAAAAGCAAATTGAATGAAATGATAAAGCCTCCCGAGATGAAGGATTCAAGGCAGTGGTTTTTAAATTTATGTAGGCTAGAAAATAATGTTTTATAATATTTTAATCCTTTATACACTGTTAGACATTTCAAAGGGTTTTTACAGTAACTTACTGGCAACACTGTTGCCAGTAAGTTACTGTATTTTAGATTTACAGTATACAACTGTAAATCCGTTTACAGCATGTTACCGTAGTGTCTGAAAATGGTTAACTACTGTAAAAACCTAAGTTAACAGTTAGCTACTGTAAACCTTTTAATTTTGTCCTAAATATTTTATAATATAATTTTATTAATATTATTTTAATACTATAGACCTAAAAAAGACAGAATTACAAAATATTAACAAAATAAACACTCTTTATTTAAAACATTGGAGATGCTTAAAACAAGCTTAAAAATGTGTAAAAACATTACATTTCAATCATTCAAAATATTTTATTTTAAGAAAAAAAAACATTGAAAATGACAAAGCACATTAACATACATGTACAAAACTAATTTAAGTGTCTGACCTGCATATTGTTGAGAAAAAAAAAACCAATTGTACTAAGTACTACTGACATTAAACCAGACACAATTACAAAATATTCCATTCTTTAAAACATTAATAATGCTTAAAGCATTTAAGGAAAATGTGTGAAAATTACATTAAGCAATAAAATCAACACATTAAAAATAAATAAATCACACAAAGCACTAGAACATACATGTACAATAAAAATTTAAACTTCTGAATTGCATATTGTTGGAAAAATAAATATTTGTAACTATTAGCCGACTCAGAAACAACCCAACTTTAAAATATTACTAGTTCTGGTGTCAAATGCTCAACAAGGTCTGAATTCACATGTTCAAATGCAATTCATCTTTATTTCTATTGCACTTTTACAATGTAGATCAATGATGTCAAAGCAGCTTAACATAGAAGTTCTTGTAAATTGAAGCTGCTTCAGTCCAGTTTTCAGAATTGAAGCAGTAAATGTCACTGCTGAAAGTCCAAACACTGAAGAGCAAATCCACCGATCCACCAATCGTAGCCAAGTGATCCAGTGGCGACAGTGGCATGGAACAAACTTCAACAACTGACGAAAGTGTAGAATAAAATCCCTTGAGAGATACCAGGCTCAGTTGGGCACGACCAGTTCTCCTCTAGCCAAACTTGTGCAAGGCCGCAGTCTAGGCACCAGAGGCTTGAAAGTTCACCAGTGGGTGGTCAGGCTGGCCCATTGGATCAATGCGGAAACTCATTGATCACGTGTGTCTTTTAGGATTCACTCCTCCATGACCACCACAGCATCTGGTCAGGATTTGGCCCAGTCCAGGATTATGAAGAACTCTGGATAAGGACAAACAGACTAACATAAGCATAGAAGAAGCTTGTTTAAAAAAAAATAAATCATATACTGGTTAATTATTTTGAAGCATGGCAGGTAGGTTGGGGTAGTTTTCAGCTGGTACTGAGCAACTGGCTCCTGCTCATAACCTGCTCACTACCATGTTTAAAAGATAACTAACCAGAATGTCCTGTTTATTTTTTTCCCTAACAAGGTTTTACAAAAACATTGTAGCATTTGTGATGGGTTGATTCACTGCAGGACAGATTAGACTATTTGTTTTATGTATTCCTAATAAACTAAAACTGACTGAATACTGATAAAACTATTGAGAGTGTCTCACCTAATCCAAGTTCTCAGTTAGCTGGTGAAAGAAGGATAACTCACTGTTGTTCATGGTTGTCATTCTCTTCACTACTTCTCCTGCTATCTTCTGGCTCACTCTGGTTGTTGCTATGCATTTTGTTTCATCCTCTGGAATTATTTATACAAAAAAATTGTATTATTTTATTTATTACAAAATATTTAGGCAACATGAAATGGGGAAAAAGACATTTAATACATAGACAAATGCATGTATCCCAATACTAATTATTGTATTTTGAAATGTCTGACCCATGACAGACCTCAATCTGCTCAAAAATATTATAAACAAAGATGAAAAAAACCCTACTAAATGGTTTAATAAAAAAGGGAAAACGATTTTTTTATTTAGCTAGCAACTAAACATGTGACACATTTTGTATTAAAAGTAACGTTACTATATTGAGAAACAAATAGATGTACAGTACTTACTGTTGTATGAGGTCCAGTTTGCACAGGCAGGCTCCCAGTATTCTATATTGAGACCATAAAAAAGCCAAAAATACAGATAAGAATACCATGCTACAATCCACAACCTCCACACAACTTTTTTTTATTTGTTTACCTTGGTTGCTTACTGGTCTTGCTTATTTTTTAAGCATAAGGCTGTGCTGATCAAGATGTTCCTCCGAAATGCTGTTTGTTTCTTCAGACAAAACCTGCTGCTGTGCCAGTGCCATATCTAAACAGAAAAAAATATAATGGTAACAATTATGTTAAACCAAATGTCAAGAGTTGTGATAAAAAAACAATTAGCAAACAATAAATAGCAAAAAGGTGGTTATTAGCATAATGCATAGAGGTAAAATTGGTTTTATATTAGCAGATTCAGACTTCCCCCTTAATAATTTAATTTCATAAAAGTATTATTTGCAAACTCTAAATAGCGAAATCATTTTAGCAGCTAATGACTATCAAAGTACAACATGCTCACGGTCAATTAAACAGTGTTAATGTTGATTTCAAGTCATACTGGCATGCTAATTCTGATCGAATATTCAAAGTAACATGGTAAACAGTATAGAGTCTTCTAAATGAACGAATGTGCGAATATAAAACCAACTTTACCTCTATGCATATTGTAACGTTATAGATTTACGTTAACGTTCTTATAGGTTACGTCGCGATGTTATTTTCTCAAGCTAACGTTATAAGTTACTCTAAACCAGAGAAAAATAAGTTCACAACATCTAATATATATAGTATAAATCAATATAAGTTAAACGTTGCACGTTAAAATGAGTTTGAGTCCAATTCAGTATAAACTTAGCTCAGTTTAGCTAACAGTTAACATTACCATTTTAAGATCACTTCAGCCAATGTTGCCGAGCAAACAAATGCTAATAGAGGTGCTTAAATCAATGTCGAGTGTTGTCAGCACAGACAGACGCGCTTTTACCTGGATTATTTGTTGGTCTTTCATTCATATTCTTCTGGGGGAAAACACTCTCTGCCGGACCGTTGTCTCGTGCTAAGTGTCCTCCAAAACTGTCTGCATACCTCTGGTTCCCTCCTAAACCAAAACCCGCTGCAACACCGGTTCCTATGTAAATAAATAAAAAGATATGACGAGAACACTAGCTAATAGTCATAAACAGTCTTATTTAAAGTAATAGTAGTGTTAATGTAATAAATTAAATAAAGGTAACATCTTAATAGATGATATATTTCTCAAATGGGCAAAATAACGCCAAGCCAGAGAAAATAATAATAGCCAACTTTATACTTTACTTTGTTCTATTCTCGTCCACAAAACATTCTGTAAAATGAAACACTGCCTCAGCTTACCAGAGTAAAGTTTGTTAAATCCAGTATGTTCTTCAGGCACACTAATAAATTGTCCTCCAGAATTGCTCCAGGGTCCTCAGGCAAAAAGTGGTGCAGAGTAGTCGAATCGCCGCAAGGTGGCGTTGAAGCAGTTGTGGAAAATACAGTATAATACACGAATTTTTACAAATACAGTACATCGCTGTATATGTTGTTCGACGTCACACTAAATTCCCATAATGCAACGGTAAATACAGTTATTTACCGTAAAAGGAATTTGCAGTATTACACTGGGTGAAATACAGTAAATAACTGTGTAATTTACAGAAATGTCTAACAGTGTATTTATATCCTATATATATATATATCCTTAATATTTTAATTCTTTTTCATATGTAAAGATATTTGCGTATTGCTCTACATCTTGTGTATTAAGCAGAGTGTAAGCGAGGTGCACTCTGCGCCGGACTTTAGACCGGCTTTGTTCTGGTCTAAAGAACAGACTATTACAGTTTCTCAAAATAGCAACGCACCAGCAACGTGCCAAAACACGCCTGCTTTTTAGACCAGAACGTCTATGGGCGCACATATGAGCGCAAATGCATTTGCTATTTAAACAGCCTGGCGCAAAATGTCAAAACGACTCTTTCACCAAGCTGAAACTAGCAAATAACACTTGCGTCGCGCCCTGTGCCACATTGCACGGCGTATGATAGGGCCCCTTGTGTCTATTGCCTCTTCATGTTGAATCACTGAATGCCTCCTCATTCGTAAGTTGCTCTGGACAAAAGCGTCTGCTAAAGGACTAAATGTAAATTAGATACAAATAGTTTTTTTTTTTTTTTTTTTGCAGAGAATTACTGTGAAAAGCGATTTACAAATAAAATTAAATAAAATGAAATCGAATTGAGTAATTCTGCTTGCTAACTAACAAAATGAATGTTTTTAAAATACTTACTAAATGCTTATCTAAAGGTCAGATTTGACTCAGATTTAAATAATTAAAATAGTTTAATGTATATATGCATTGAAATGTATAAAACTTTAAGAAGTATTGAGTCAAGTAATTAAATTCCTTATTAAGTATTTCAATTACTTCTCAGAACTAGTCATTCAATAAGTAATCTAAATACAGTTTTAATTATGTAATTAGTGATTAATTACCTTTTTTTTTAACCTAACTAACCCAACACTGGTCTCAAAGCACTGATGAAGCATTTTCCTACACTATTAAAAAAGGAGATTTAGATGATTGCCTCATTCTTCACCACTCTATGCATTAAACCTCACATTAACTAACTAACTTAATCAAGAGTTTTTTCTTATGTTATTCTCTGTCTCTCTCTCCTCCAGGAGAATTCCTGCCACCAAGGAAAAAAGGTTAGCGTCTTGAAGAGCGCTTGATGAGATTGCATTCATTAGGGAATACATAAACCATCAGCATAACAGATAACGGTTTGCTTGAATCTGTAATTAACGCATTTATATTACGGCTGCATTAGGAGGGCAAGCATTAGAGTATTTTATGGAGAATGGGCATTATGTTTGTCATTGATTGCGATTTTACATTTGGAGCCATTCATAATCATTTCCCTTTGTTTTCACACGCACTAATTGTGCTCCCCGTGCTAATCAAGCTGCATGTATTTGTCCATTAACATCTTCATGGAATCATCATTAAGCCGTCTCCGAATGGTAAAGCTATTGCAGAAAGCATCTAAACACCATTATCACTTTTAGCTAATGCAAATGTTTGTGAATGAAAATAGCTCTGCATATGCACGTAATAAAAGTCTGGATTTGATTATATGGGTGACGCATTTGCTGTCATTTGTTACATTAAGACTTAAGGGAGCTTTGCAAGCCTCTTGTTTTGCTTTAAAGGCGAAGTACTGTACGTAATTGCTGACACAAGGAGACCTAAGAGACCAGGAAATTAGCTGTAAGCGTTTAAGACGTATAGACATTGTCAATGGGAGAGTATGATAAACCATAATTATAGTTCTTTGAGGGTGCCATTCTGTTTTGCTTGTTTTGTTTTCTATTGAAGCAAAAAAATAATAATAATAAAAGCAGGGATGACATTTTTTGTGTATGAGTAAAACCCAGAAATAAGTTAGCATTTTAGTACTTCAACTTCCATCACGCTGAAGACAAAGTGCTTTAATGGATTTTTGAATAAATGTCAAGAAACAAGGTCTGTACTAAATAAAAACCTACAGAATTATAATTAATAGAAATCAGAACTATTAAGGCTTGTTTATCTTGTTTATCTAACTCAAACTTTTAGAAAATTCTTATTTATTAGCATTAATTTGAAAGACTAAAATAGTTGCTGCAAGCTGTGGTGACAGATGTCATAATAAACTTTGTTGGTTAGTTTTTGCACACAAATGTTTGAAACTTTTCTTGCTCAGTCACAGCCAGAAACACATGAATATGCTAAACATTCACTCTAAACTTAGCAGTCACACTATAAATACTTTTAAAGGGATTAGTTAACAAATAAGTAAACCTAATGCCTTAATTTTTAGGCAAATAAACTGTGCGCATAATAAAAAAAAAAAATACGCTGTCAACTTAACAGTTTCATGTTACAATGGGTTTACTCAAGTTTTTAAAGTCAACTTGTTACTTTTATGGCAACTGGTTTACTTACTTTTTAAAAAGTAAAATAACTAAATGCTGTTACAGTAAAGATTATTTGTATTTAATTATTTACACAGAACTGATCAAAGTTATGGCAAATATATATATATATATATATATATATATATTTGCGTTGAAATGTGGATATTTAGACTAGAAACAAGAAAAAATGAGAGTAAGAAATATATATATATATACACACACACACACACACACACACACACACACACACACACACACACACACACACACACACACACACACACACACACACATATATATATATATATATATATATATATATATATATATATATATATATATATATGTATTTCTTACTCTCATTTTTTCTTGTTTCTAGTCTAAATATCCACATTTCAACGCAAAAACAAGATTATTTTACATCCCACATTGACAGATAATTTTGCTTGTTTTAAAGACAAACTCTTAATTTTGACAATATTTTGACATTTTTTACTCAATCTAAGACTTTTTAGATATTTAATCTAGAAATAAGACATGGCAAAGTAAGGAAACCAAAATTTGCATTGTGGTTATGCAATTTCAGTACCTGAATACTGTTAAGACCCCACAGAAACCCATCAAATAGTGCTTTTCAAACTATCTTGTGCAACTCGTAAAATTTATTGTAGAAAAATAAAATAATGAAATATCAGATTTTTCTAATATCGTGCAGCCCTAGATCCAGCTGTACAAAATTTGAGCACTTGGTAGAGGCTTTGGAACACAATTTATAGTCTATTCAAGACACACATTTTACTAATACGAACTACTTAATTAAAATGAGTTTAAACAACAAAATTCGTAAGTTTTTCGGTACAGCTTAAGTGTTTTATGTTCAATCCACTTAAATTTGTAAAAAGACTGTGTTAATTTAAACGATTTGTGTTGGGACAATTGTGTGTTTTTACAGTGTTGCACATTGTTTGCAGTGTTGTCTTTTATTAGTAAAGCGGATAAACCACGAGTATTATTTATATTATTTATTAAATTTGCCATCAAATGTATTTTATTAATGTCAACCCAAACCCTAAAGTGAACCGTCACAGTAATGTAAAAACAGATCTGGAACTGGAGTCTTCTATTAGTAAAGCTGATTAACCACAAAAATTATTTTTATTTTTTATTAAATTTTCCATTAATTTAATTTTATCAACATCTACCCCTACCTTCACAGTAATGTAAAAACATATCTGGATCTGGAGTCTTCTCTATTAGAAAAGCTGATTAACCATGTGGATGCATGATAACAACCTTCTGAGCCTATACTAGTAGGTGCAGAAGGCCCCTACTGGCCCATATCTATCAGCTGATAACCACTGATAATACCCATTCAATCGAGTTATAACATTTGAAGCGTGTGGGTTGGAGGACAGGTTGGTTTATCAATGAGATAATCCTGAATGATTAACTTGAATCCATTATGAATCTCTTTTGAATTTACAGTTTTTTTCACCCATTATTATTTACCAAATTCTTTGTAACCATTGGCATGTCTCCTGAGCATGCAACTACACTAAAAATATGAATAATTGGATTTGCAATTTTTGTTTTAAGGTATCTGGTTGCAAACAACCTATATGGGCTGAATTTAAAAAAACAAAGTTAATAAAAAAATACATAAAATTTAATTTGTTTAAATTCAGCTCATATTAATAGTTTGCAACCTCTTACCTAATTAAGTACTGTACTAAAAAAAATTTGTAAATCCAATGATTCATTTTTTCAGTGCATCTAATAGCACTGTAAAGGCATGCTGTCACTGTAAAATACATAGTATTATTCATTATGTATGGTACGTCTAATTATATGTTATGCGCTGGCTTGTGCATGTCAAGCCAAATAATATTTGTCTGCTGTCAAATGCTGTGCGGCTGTGTGCTTGGCCCAACAACACCACACAGAGCCTTCACTGACACTTCTGACAACCTAATAATATAGTTACAGAAATATGGGCCAAGGAGATGCTAGAAGAGGAAGGGGAATACTTGGAGGACGAAGAGGAGGAGGAAGAGGAGGAGATGGATACTGATGAAGAGGAAGAAGACTATGAGGAAGAAGAGGAAGAATATGACGAGGAGCTCGAGGAGGAGGAGGAAGAGGAGGAGGAGCTTGAGGAAGAAGAGGAGGAGGAGCTTGATGAAGAAGAGGAGGAGGAGCTTGAGAAAGAAGAGGAGAAAGAGCTTGAGGAAGAAGAAGAGGATGAGGAGGATGAAGAGGAGAAAGAGGAACCTGGGGTGAAGGTGGTGGAGGAGGAGGAGGAAGATGAAGAGGAGGCAAAAGAAGAGAAGGAGAAAAAAAAGGAGGAGGAAGATGAAGAGGAAGCTGAAGCAGAAGAGGAGGAAGATGAAGAAGCAGCAACAGAAATTGCTGCTAAGGAAAAGAAGAAAGAGGAAGCTGGAGCAAAGGAGGAGGATGAAGATGAAGAAGAGGGAAAAGAAGAAAAGTCTGAGGAAAAGGAGGAAGAGGAACCTGAAGCAATGGAGGAGGATGAAGAGAAAGAGGAGGCTGAGAAAAAGGAGAAACAGGAAGCTGGAGCAGAGGAGGAAGATGAAGATGAAGAGGAGGCTAAGGAAATGGAGGGAGATGAAGCTGAAACAAGCAAAGAAGAAGCTCCTGAGGATGAAGAAGAAAAGGAGGAAGAAGAAGCTGAAACAGACAAGGAAGAAGCTCCAGAGGATGAAGAAGGAAAGGAGGAAGAGGAAGATGAAAAGGAGGAAGCTGCTTCTGCTGCACCCGAAAAGAAAGCTGCTCCGATCCCTGCAGCTCCTAAAGAAGCTGAGGAAGCTGATGAAGAGGATGATGACAAAGATGCTGAAGCTCAAGAAGAACCACCAGCTGGTAAAGTCACTCCAGCTGAAGAAGACGAAACAGAGACACCTATCGCGGTGACTCCTACTACGGACGATGACCAAAAAGATGACCAAATTGAGAAGAAAGAGGATGACGATGATGTCCAAGATGCTGCTATCGCCATTGCTCTTGGTATTGTAGCTGAGGTTGAAGAACAAGCAACTGGTGAGGAACCTATACTTATTAAAGCTGATGGTGATGCAGCAATATTAACAGCTGTAGAGGAGAGCGCTGCTAAAGCTGACGACTCACAAGATAGCTTAAGCACTGCTGGTATCGCATCCGATGATGATGATGACGATGATGATGAGATAGCTAAAGAGTTAGAAGATGAGACTGGTGTTGGCCTGAAAGATGCTGACTCTGAAAAAGATACACCAAGTAAAGGTGAGGGTGTTATTGAGGAACCTGATGATGGTGTTGCAGATAAGAAAGAGGCAAATAAAGAAAGAGAGGATCAGATAAATGCTGAGGATGAAGATGATGATGATGATGCTGATCTAGTAACAGCACCTGTAGTTAGTCCTGAAGCAGGTGGAGATGAGAAAGCTGTGGTGGCCGATGAAGATGGCTCTTCACCAGAGAAAGGTATACAATACCTGATTAGTTAATAATGGTAATTAGTCTGAATTTTTTTTTTTTTTTTTTTTTAATGTCAAGATGAATCCATGTCATGTAATACAGCATACAGTGATCTTAGTAGTGGGAATCAAGAAAAAGAGTTAAGTTCTGTAGATTTAAAGTACTCAAACTCATACCAAAACACTTGGTCAGAATGTCCTGGACTTTTTATTTCTGTGGAACTGCAGCAATTTTACTGAACCTAGATCTGGAAAGACTTGTGTAGTTGAGTAGACTCCCAAATGAATGACTCAGAGATTTTATTTAGTGTATCAAAGCATACTGTGCAACCCCTTTAAATCTGAAAGAATTACTCACAGTCAGTTTTAGTCAATAAAAGCATAATGCACTGCCAACATAGTCAAACTGGTTGGTTCTTTATAGAGAATCAAAAAGACATGCTGTACATACTTCTGAAGAAATGACTCCAAGTCTATTCTTTTTGAAACATAAGACACAACCAGACTAGTCTGATTTCCCAAAGGAATGACTCTGAGTTAATGGCCATCCACAAGTCTTTGAAAGCAATGGAGAATGTAATACTATGAAAATGAATAGACTACTCAATCAACAGTAAAAAAAAATATAATAATAATAATAATAATAAAACTATAAGCCAAGTACTCGAAATATTTGATTTATTTTTAATTACTGGTTTTATATATGTGTAACATTATAGGCCAAATATACTCATATTTCTCTGTCAAGTTACTTTTACTTAATATACTTATTTCACACAAAATATCATATTTTACTCACCCTTCACTTGTTCCAAACCTGTTCCGAGTTTGTTTCCTCTGTTCATCCCAAAAGAAGAGAGATACGTAGTTTAAATAGACCTTAAAACTGCTAACCACTGACTTCTTAAGTAGAAAAAACAAATACTACGGAAGTCAATGGTTACAGGTTTTCAGCTCTCTGTAAAATAACTACTTTTTTGTTGAACAGAAGAAAGAAACTTATGTTTTTTTAAAGGGTGTAAAAATATATTTTTAAAGAGAGATGAACTCCTAAAACCATTGTCTTAAGTATAAAAACAAACACTATGGAAGTCAACGTAACAGGTTTTTAGCTCTCTGTAAAATATCTACCTTTGTAATGAACAGAGGAAAGAAAGTTAAGGTTATTTTAAAGAGATATTAAAAAGATATTTTAAAAAGAGATGAAAACCTGTAACCATTTACTTCTTAAGTAAGAAAAACAAATACTATAAAAGTCAATGGTTACAGGATTTCAGCTCTCTTTAAAATATCTACTTTTGTGCTTAACAAAAGAAAACAAACCATAAAGCTTTAAAACCACTTATGGAGTACAATTTCATTTTGGGGAGAATGTTCCCTTTAAAGTAACATCTCACTTTTTAAAAAATATGCTCATTTTACAATTCTAGAGTTAAACAGCTGCAATGATATCATGACACACATGACAGTAGTCACCAGCTACTGTAGGTAACTAGGTAAAGGCAATATCATTAACCCAGAATAGAAATCTCAACCATACACAACATATAAACTAAGTATATGATGTATTTAGAGAAGAGTCTAAACTTTTTTTTTTTTTTTAAGTACAATGCTATTGGTCTAATCCGATTCAATGATCTATGCTAAGCTAAGCTAAAAGTGCTCAGGGAATCGGTTGAATGAATTCAAAAATGGCAAAACTCAACTGTTTAACTACTTATGTTACAAATATATATTTTAGAATAGTGTAGTGTTCCTTTAAGAGCAATATTGTGTATACTTAAGATACACATTTCAGACAGCTACACAAAAAGTAGACTGACTTATTTTTAAAAGTATACGAATAAAACACTTGAATAAACTTTTCTTTAGTAAAGGTAATGCAATATGATTTCTTTCTAATTCTCATATTTAATTGCTGTCATTTATCTTGGAAATATTTATAAAATCTTTTTATACTCCATATATGTCTTTTTTCTTGTTTCTTTTAACTAACAGTAATCATTTAGACTTATGGTCACACAAACACAGATTAACATACATATCCGAATGCGCTGGCAGGAAAGGAGCACATTTGAGTTAGTGATTGAAGTCTAATTCATGCTGGGTGGATCAAAGCACAGCAGCTGGTGCATTGCTGCTCAGCTGCCAGTGAAACGGTTCGAATCCATGAGAGACTGCTTTCATGTTAGCTGTCACAGGGCGCACGTCTCTAAAGGGGTCATTCAAGGGCATCAAAGTTCTGGCCGATCAATGAAAACATGAAAACACAGATTAAGCCAAATGAAGAGAGCAAATCTAGGGAATATAGTCAAGAATTAGCTGGTGAAGAGGCGACACAGGGGCTCAGTGGTTAGCACTGTCAACCCACAGCAAGAAGGTCGCTGGTTCGAGTCTCTGCTGGGTCAGTTGGCATTTCTGTGTGGAGTTCGAGACATGCGATATGAGTGAATTGAATAAACTAAATTGGCCGAAGTGTATGTGTGTGAATGAGAGTGTATGGGTGTTTCCAAGTTGGGTTGCAGCTGGAAGGGCATTCGCTGTGTAAAACATATGCTGAATAAGTAAGCAGTTCATTCCGCTGTGGCGACCGCTGATGAATAAAGAGACTAAGCCAAAGGAGAATGAATGAATGACTTAGCTGGAGACTGTAATGTATGCTGCGGATAACATATGCTAATAACAAAGAGCAGCTTGAGTTTACCTTTCTAACTTAATTTAGCTTATTTGTCGATTCACTCAGCACAAAACTAAACCACCTGTTTCTGCTCCTAACCCGCCGCTGATGCTGCTATAATAAATTCTGAAGGATCGTCCCAGTACAAATGAAAAAATGATTTTGCATGCTAATTAAATCTGATTATAGCTCTATGTCAGACACTAATGCAATCTACCAATTGACAGAGGAAAAAGTTGAGCTCCTGCAAAAACTGCTTCTCAAAGTGATAGAATAATAGGTTAAATAAATTGTTGACCATTACGGCATTGTGTGTGTAACTCATCTATGTGATACAACAGCTCCTGAAGCCAAAGACACTGATGAAGTGGACACAGAAGAAACGGCTGAAGGTATCGTCTATTTTTAAAATGTTCAGTGTGAAAATCACTGTCATCCTACACTGAAAAAATGATTCATTGGATTTGCTATTTTTTTAAGGGATGGTCCACTTAGCTCATGTGTAATGTAATGTAGATGTGTGAACATAAACAACATCTCTGAATGTAACATGCTCAAAGTTCAATGCAAAGGGAGACAAAGCCTACAGCGAACAAAGTTTCGGGACTACAAAAAAATACATACAGCTTAATGAAGTCATAAACCCTTCAGGCTATTCACATTTACCATGCGCTTCGAAGGGCGTGGCCATAAGCACTGTAATGTAGCAGAGAAAGCAAAAATGCCGTCCAAACACAGCTATTTCCACAGAGCTTGCACTGTTTCTGTATTTGGGTTTTTAAAGGACACAACACAAAAAAAGAAGTGCTTACAACTTAATTGTAATTATGTTCCAGAGAATTATAAAAAAAGACATAGCTAGCATTTGACAAAGGAGAGCGTCCAGAATCTCTATCAGTTTAGTGCTGGATTTGGCTAAAAACTCCATTATAGCATAATACCATAATAGCAGAAGCTGATATTTGATAATACGATACTTGAAAAAATAAAATTTTTTCTACAAATGAAGCATGAGCACACATTGCTTTGCACCCTATAAACACAGCCAAGTCTTAAAAATTCACTCTTGGTCACCCTTTTAAGGTAACTGGTTACAAACAAATATGAGCTGACGTTATACAAACAAATTAAGTTGAGCATTACTAAATTTAATTAGTTTAAATTCATCCCATATAAATAGTTTGCAATCCCTTACCTTAAAAAATTGTAAATCCAATAAATCTTCTTTTCAGCATTCTAGAAAATGCAGAAAGAAGAAAAAAATATATATTTTTAATAACTGAATTTTAATGGTTACCGAAGATGAAAAATCACAAAGACTTCTCTGTTCGGCGAAACTTTTAAATATGTGTTCTTTTCTTTCAAAGACATAAAAACCCTGAAAGAGGAGGAGAAAGATGAAAAGGAAGAAAGTGCAGAGCGAGAGGAAATTGCAGAAAAAGCAGCAGAACCAGAACTGGTCGCTAAGGGTAAGAGACATGGAAACAGCATGATAAAACGGACCAAAATTAAAATAAGAAAATAGTTTTATCACTAATGAGGTGTATGGTTATTGATGGTGGATGAGAGGTGTTGTAGAGCATGTAGAATTGTGGGGATGGTGGATGAGGGGGGAAGAGTCTATGAATGAGTGTGTGGTTGAGAATATGAGGGCTGAACAGAGCCTTAGGCCTCAAACTTTGATCTCCAAAGACTTCCTTATGGCTCATTTTTCCATCTACTTCACAATATTATAGGATGCTGCTGCTGCTGCTATGTGTCTAGTGCTTGATGTTCTGCTCTGGTCTCTGCTGTAAAAAGACAAAAGACAAAAAAGAAAGGTGTGCTAAAACTTTGAAATCAATAGACTGAAGAGTTTTCACCTGTTTTGTTAAAGTGATCATGTATTTAAAAGTATGTTTGTATTTTTTTTTATTAAATACATTTTAATATACACTCACCGGCCACTTTATAAGGTACAACTGCTTGTTAACGCAAATTTCTAATGAGCCAATCACATGGCAGCAACTTGATGCATTTAAGCATGTAGACATGGTCAATACGATCTGCTGCAGTTCAAAGTGAGCATCAGAATGGGGAAGAAAGGTGATGTAAGTGACTTTGAATGTAGCATGGCTGTTGGTGCCAGACGGGCTGGTCTGAGTATTTCACAAACTGCTGATCTACTGAGATTTTCACGCACAATCATCTCTAGCCTTTACAGAGAATAGTCAGAAAAAGAGAAATATCCAGTAAGCGGCAGTTCTGTGGACAGTCTGAATCATCTCAGACTGGTTTCTTGAACATGATAATGATCGCTGTATTTAAATGGCCTCCACAGTCACCAGAAGTCAACCCAATAGAGCACCTTTGGCATATGGTGGCACGTGAGATTCGCATCATGGATGAGCAGTCGACAAATCTGCAGCAACAGCGTGATTCTATCCAACCCAGTACTAGTAAGGTGTACCTAATAAAGTGGACGGTGAGTGCATTTAAAAACCCATTCAGAATTAAAGTTAATTTATTTTAATAAACTTTTTATTTAATACAGTATACAGGCCTAGAGAGCACAAATGACCTGAAATACTTTTTAACTAAATTCCCCATACATTAAAATACAAAATACATAATTATTTATTAGTTTTCATTTATTCAAAATTATTATTTTAATAGCCTATTATAGGTTATAGATTGTTTACTATGAAAGCATTGAAAAAATAAAATGGGGGAGGGGAAAAAAGAGAGATACCAGTATCAGCCTCTATAAATGTACAGTATCTCGCTGAACACTCCGAAAATAATAAATAATGCACAGAAAGCAGAAAAAGGTGTAACCTCTGCAATGTAATAATGAACATTAAATAAAAGCACAAGAATCTCTGTAATAAGATTTCCTCCAGTGAGATGTATCCCCTCCCTTTCCAATTATTCCTGCTATTTGATTTATTGATATGGTGTTGAACTAGAATTTTTTCTGAATTCCTCCTGAGGGCAAAAGATCCTGCTGGGTATCAGATTAAAATCTGGAGAGGAGATTGGGGATAAAGCGATGTGTGTATTGCGAGATGGAAACCTAATCCTGTGCAGAGACAGTGTATGACACAGCAGTATCACAGCAGACTCAGAGCTGAGATGAGTTCAGAGAAAGGCTGCTTCTTCAGTCTGGGAAGAGAAGAATGAGGTGTACATAACAGTAAAATATGGCCAGACTGAGGCTTACATGGTGACACAGCACTAGATGTACACAGAAAGTTTCAAATGCATTCGGTGAAGGAGAAAAGGTCAAAAAGTATGCTCAACCAACCTGTATCAACATCAAGATAGTTTACATGCATTGTAGGGATACAAATCCAGTGTTAGTTTGTAATGGAAGCATTCAGATTAATAAAACGTGTCGTATATTATAATACTTTGTGTTGTCATTTTGGTGGTCAAAAGGACATCAATGTGTGGAGGTCAAATGGATGTCAAGATTCTGATGTAAAATCGATTAGCATTGATAAGCATGTTCTACACTAGTGTTTCTCAAACATGTTACTAAAGGACTACCAGTTCTGCATATTTTCCATGTCTCCTTAACCAAATACAACTGATTCAGATCATAAGCTCATTAGCAGAGACTGAAAACCTGTAATGGTGTGACAAGAGAGATATCCACACATACAGTGTTGGTGGTTTTCCAGGAATGTGGTTGAGAAACACTGTTCTACAAAGCCTAGCAAACACAAACTGCATTTAAAACAACATAAAAATACACAATAAAAATGTTAAGCGATTTGATATCAAAACAACATCAAATTGACATCTAAAATTGGTGTCAAAAACATATAAAAAATGTCAATTTAATGTAATTTTAACAGCAATATAGTTTACATGCATTATAGGGAAACAAAATTCAGTGTTAGTGATTGAAGTGTGCAGATTAATAAAACTTTCATATATCATAATAATTTTTGTGTCGTTATTTTGGTGGTCAAAAGGACATCAATGTGTGGATGTCATATGGACATCTATATTTTGATATAAAATTTATCATGAGGCTCTACACAGCCTAGTAGACAAAAATGGCATTTAAAACAACATAAAAATACACTATAAAAATGTCAATCAATTTGATATCAAAACAACATCAAATTGACATCTAAAATTGGTGTCAAAAACACATTAAAAATGTCAATTTGATGCAATTTTAACAACAATATAGTTTACATACATTTTAGGGAAACAAAATCCAGTTTTAGTAATTGAAGTCTGCAGATTAATAAAATGTTTCATATATTACAACACTTTTTGGGTAGTTGTTTTGGTGGTCAAAAGGACATCAATGTGTGGATGTCAAATGGACATCTATATTTTGATATAAAATTAATCAGAACAGTATGTTCTACACAACCTAACATGCAAAAACTACATTAAAAACTACACAAAACTACAAGAAATGTAAACGGATTTGTTGTCAACTACCTTGATGCCAAAATAACATCAAATTGACATCTAACATTGGTGTTAAAAAGACATAAAAATGTCAATGTTATGTAATTTTAAAATCAATATAGTACATGCATTGTAGGGAAACAAAATCCAGTGATAAGTTGTGATTAAATCTTGCAGATAAATAAAACTTTTCAAATAATACTTTGTGTTGTTGTATTGGTGATCAAAACACATCAATGTGTAGATGTCAAATGGACGTCTATATTTTGATATAAAATTGATTAGTATGTTCTATACAGCCTAGCAGGCAAAAACGAAATTTAAAACAACACAAAAGTACACAATCAAAATGTAAATGGATTTGCTGTTATCTAACTACCTTGATGTGAAAACAACATCAAATTGACATCTGACATTAGTGTGAGAAAACACACATAAAAAAATGTCAATTTGATGTCATTTTAACATTAAGCTAATTTACGTGCATTGTAAGGATACAAAATCCAGTGTTCATTTGTAATTTTGTTATTTTGTTATTTTGTAAAATTTGTTAATTAAGTTTTCAGATAATAAAACGTTTCATATATTATAATATTTTTTGAGTTGTTATTTTTGGTGGTCAAACGGATATCAATGTGTGGAGGTCAATTAGACGTCAAGATTTTGATATACAATTGATTAGCGTCGATTAGTATGTACTACACAGTCTAGCAGGCAAAAACGACATTGAAAACAAAAATAAACAACAAAATGTAAATCGATTTGTTGTCAACTGACTTCCTTAATATCAAAACAACATCTAATTCGCATCTAACATTGGCGTCAAAAAACACATCAAAAATGTCAATTTGATGTCATTTTAACATCAATATAGTTTATATGCATTGTAGGGATAAAAAACAAGTTAATTAAATATTTTTTGGGCGGCAAGGTGGCTTAGTGGTTATCACTGTCACCTTATAGCAAGAAGGTCACTGGTTCGTGCCCCGGCTGGGCCAGTTGGCATTTCTGTGTGGAGTTTGCCTGTTCTCCCCATGTTTGCGTGGGTTTCCTTCAGGTGCTCTGGTTTCCCCCACAGTCCAAAGACCTGCGCTATAGGTGAAATTAATAAGCTAAATTGGCCTTTGTGCACACACGTAGCAGATTTTTTTGTTATTCCACTAGGTTAGAGGCGGGTGCTACCATGTGTATGTTTGTTCCAGTCAGTGCAGTTGAGTAAGGGGTGTGTGACGCTGAAGATGTTTTTTTTCTTATTTACATATTTCTCTTTAGTTATTTAGAGGTGGGGGAGGGATTAGTTAGCGGGGGTTTAATTTGTTATTTTCTTTGATTTGGCACCGCTTATTCTCCTTCCCTCCATCAGGTATTTTTGTTTACTTTTTGCATTTATTGTACATATTTGTAAATATACTTTGGGTGATTTAAATATTCACTTCTTTATCTTTATTGTAATAAAGCGAACCAGTTTTTTTTTGCCACGTCGTTGTCTGTGTTGATTCATAGCAGTTAACATCTCAGAGGAATTCTTAAAATATTGGGTTGTCATAATTATGTTAAGCCCTTTTTCATCCTCTGAGCCACACGGGGCGTAACAGTGTGTACGCGGGATTGTATCGGTGTTTCCCAGTGCTGGGTTGCGGCTGGAAGGGCGATTCATTCCGCTGTGGCAACCCCTGATTAATAAAGGGACTAAGCCGAAGAAAACAGAATGAATACAACATTTCTTATATGATAATACTTTTTCTGTCATTATTTATTTATTAATTATTAATTATTTGTTAATAGCGTGAATTGCAAATTAAAACAAAATGTGACCAAAAGTTTTTTGATTTAAACATTTATACAATGATTTGACGTTAACCTTGACTAAGTTTACTTTTCTAGTTAGGTCTGTCACTTCACCTAGAGTGACTTTGCAGCAGCAGATTGATTTGTATTCAGTCTTCTGCTGTTTGTGCAATAGAACATATTAAAAATGTATGTCAAGTTTGTGGCAATTTATACGCACTGAATTTAAAATGGCTCAAGCAGATCTCAAGCTGACCACTGCTTTTATGAACCAAAGTCATTCCTTTGTGATTCTGCCTTGACTTCAGTTTAAACATAGCGTACCCTCTCCATTTGCTCACTTTGTGTTATAGTACAGCAGCTCTAATGTATGATTTGTCTTCAATGACAGAGTTATTGCTCTGCTTGCTCAAGGTGATAGAACTCCTATCAGATAGATATGTTAAAGTTAAAATGCTATAACATTAAGCAGTGCTAGCAATGTGCTAAAAATGCTAGTAACATAATAAAAATGCAAGCAATATGCTAAAAACGTTAGTATCTTGCAAGCATTTTCTTTCTTTATCCATGCTATAAATGTGCTAAAACATGGAAGCAACTATATGGTAAATATATATGCTAGCAACTTGTTACAGAAGAAAGAAAATCAGACATGTTCTTAAAAAATGATTGGCTCAGCAATTCTTAACTGTGCAACATGCGATGTTAAAACAAAGTTAACAACTATGCAACCAGTTTGCTAAAAACATGCTAACAGCTTAGCATCTGTAACTATTTTAAACTTCAACATTCTAAAACTAGAATTGTCATGTCAACATCAATGTGTGCCTCATCCAATTAGCTTTCATCTTAAAACAAAAAATATGTAGATTTTAAAAAAAGCTATAAAACATTTAGCAAGTTGCTAGAAAATCAGGAACATATTAAAACATGATAGCAGTGTGGTAAAAAGATTAGCATCTTACTGTCAAACAAGTAAATCAAGGCTAATAAATGCTAGCAACTTGTTACACATATAAAAAAAGTCAAAACTGTTTTAAAGTCCTCTGGCTAGTGGAAAATGCCAGTATATTGAAACATGCTAGCAATATGGTAAACATTATTGTTATCAAAGTTTTTTCAAACATGCTATAAATGTGCTAAACATGTAAACAACTAAATAAAAGCAAATAAATGCTAACAAATTGTTACACATAAAAAATAGTAATTAAAAAATGTGCTTAAATCAACTGGCTAGTGAAAAAATAGCCTAGGACATGCTATAGCATCATGTTAAAATGACTTTGTTTACATTTATGCTACCAATTAAAAAAAAACATGCTAACAGCTTAGCAATTCATCTTCTACATTCTAAAACAGATTTGTCAAGTCAACATCAATGTTTGCCTCATCAAATTAGCTTTCACTATGACAAAAATATGTAGATGTTAAAAAATGCTAAAATATTTAGCAATTTGTTAGCAGTGTGCTAGAAATGTCAGTACAATATTAAAACATGCTAGCAATATGGTAAACATTATTGTTATCAACATTTTTTTTAAACATGCTATAACGCCTAGGACATGTTAACTACTTGTTAATGCTTAAAATGTGCTAAAAATGCTAGCATCATGTTAAAACATAACTGTAAGTTACTTAAATATTTAAATAACCATGCTAACAATTTACTAAAACATGCTAGCAACTTAGCACTCTATGTCTCCCTCACCAAACTAGCATTTATCTTATTGCAAAAAAGGGTACAGTTCATCATGATGCTTAAATAATAATAATGGCAATATGATTTTATTGTAACATGCTATAATTGTGCTACAACATGTAAACTACCAAATTAAGGCTAAAAAATGCTAGCATCTTCTTACACATAAAACAAGTCAAACATTTTCTAAAATCAACTAACTCGTGAAAAATAGCCTTGGACACATTACTTGTTAATGCTTAAACCATGTTAAAATGCTAACATCATGGTAAAACATTAAGTTAATACCTATGCTACTTATTTGCTAAAACATACTTAAAGCATATCTGTAACTATTTCAAACTTCAACATTCTAAAACTTTTTCATGTCAACATCAATGTTTGCCTCATCAAATTAGCTTTCATCTCATAACAAAAATATCTAGATGTTAAAAAAATGCTATAAAACATTTAGAAATGGGTTAGCAGTGTATTAGAAAAGCCAGTACAATATAGAAACATGCTAGCAACATGGTAAACATTATTGTTATCAAAGTTTTTTTTTTTTTAACATGCTATAATGCTTAGGACATGTTAACCACTTGTTAATGCTTAAAACGTGCTAAAAATGCTAGTGTCAGGTTTAAAACATAACTGTAAGTTACTTAAATATTTAAATAACTATGCTAACGGTTTGCTAAAACATGCTAGCAACTTAGCAATCTATGTTTCCCTCACCAAACTAGAATTCATCTTATTGCAAAAATGTGTACAGTTCATTATGACACTTTAACTTAATAATGGCAATATGATTTGGGTGTAAAATGTATTGTTGTTTTCACCCATTCGCACATAAATATTAGGTTTATTTACAGCGTTTTTATAATCCCACCTATTTCACATTAAAAATATCACAAGGTTTTGTTTAACTGATCTTTTATTTGTATTGACAAGGTTAACTCAAATAGATTTGGCTTGTTTTGACTTTACTACTTGGTACTTTAGTTCTTTAAAATGTTGTGCTCTGCAGAAAATTACAGCAATAACATCAACCCATTCCATTTATTGCAAAGCGCAGGCCAGAAAAACACGAATCTCTGCCCTGCCTGCAGGCAAGCAGCAGATACTCTGTCATTCCTCTATCAAGAACATCATTAGATATGTTTCACACAACAAAATAAATCCCTGCTGAGAGAAAGAAGCCTGCTGGTAAGGGAGAGAGAGTGCGAAAATGTGGGACTTGAAGAGATCCATTTTGACCCATGGGGTTGTGAACAGTCTCCACCGAAAGCACAAACAAACTACAAAAAAAAACAAGATCTGAACATCAAAGTTTGCGTTCAGTCGATGTGTCTGTGTGTGTGTGTGTGTGTGTGTGTGTGTGTGTGTAAGCTTGTACATGTCTATGTCTTTTGTCTCTCTATTTTCTTTCTGGGCTTTAAGACTCACCTTTTGTTTTGTTTGTTATCTTTCTTAAAACAGCCACAGCCGAGGAGGTGAAAGAAGCAGCAGCTGAGAAACCTGTGGCAGAGGCGGAAAAAGAAGGTCAGTAAACAATTAGTGAATTTTACTGTTTTACAAATTTTCTTTTCTTTTCTTTTTAGTTTGAAACATGGATTTTTTTTAGCTTTCTCTAAATAAAAAGTAACAACTTTAATTTGTTTTCTTTTTACATTTATTTATACATACAGACAACAGTTTGACAATGAGGATGTATTAGTTAATATTAGTTATGTATGAAAACGTAAATGAAAAAGCTTATTTTTTGACTGTCTTAGTCCAATCACTGTAAAATAACAAACACTGTAAATCTCTCTTTAATTAGGCTAGAACACTGCTTTATATTATTTATTTATTTATATCATTTATTTATTTATTTGTGAAAATATGTTTGTACTTTAGTTGTCTTTTATTTATTTAATTTTACTTTACACAATGAATCCTCATTGCACTTAAGTTAACAATGATAATGACACTTGTTGAAAAGCTTTTTAAATAATTAATTGAGGAATTATAATGTTGTTTCGTTATTTCATCTTTATTTACAAGTAGCAGGGTATTTACAGCTACTGTACATTTCTGACTGTTCTCATCCGCATAGTAGCAAACTGCTGTTTATTTTATTTTATTAAATTATGTACAAGTATTGTTCATTATTTGTTCATATTAGCTAAGAGTGAAAAAAATTTTGTATCCTATTTTTGTTTTGTTAAAAAAAAAAAAAAACTCATTACATCATCCGTTCACCAATTCAACGTTGTTATATAAAGTGTAACCACAGATACAGGGACACTGGAGCATTCTAAAGTCACGTCGATCAGCTGGTTTGTCTATTAACTACCATACAAGCGATCTGCTGATGAATCGCAGCTTTAAAACGCTCCTGTGATCCAGCGTCAAATGTTAGCAAATGGACGTTTTTAAAATTTCAGTATCGATTGGTACCGAATTCCAGTATCGTGCCACCCTTGTAGATAAATGGGTTTTTTCATGTTATTTTTAATGAATTTAAAAATTAATTTCTCCTTCGTTTTGTTGTTCCATTGAAAAATGAGTTCATTTGCTCCTGAAAATTTTTAATTTCCTGTTTGTTTGCACTGAAAATAATGACAGTGCTGTTAAATGCATATAAAACTAGGCTATATCAGCATAAACAGTGCCTAGTTACACTAAACTCTAAATGTTGTTTAAATGCAAAAAAAAAAAAAAAAAAAAAAAGATGACTATGGAATAAATGTAAACAAAAGCAATGAAGTTCCAATGGCAAATCAAAGTCATAGCAGGTTATTACCCCTATCTTACCTTGCCCTGCTGATCTTAATCAGCAAAGAGTAAATGCATTTTATTAGCTAATAAACTTCTGCATCAAAGGTCAGTGAGAAAAACAAAGGAAGAAAGAATGGCGTGCTGTTTTAATAACACCGATCATGTACTCGGCTGCAGGGTTGACTGATATCAGAAATGGCATTAGCATTTTAGGTTAAAGGCATTTTGAATGACACCTCCCCGTAATTCCCCGCGAGCATGTAAGCAACACAATCAAAACCGACTTTCTGAATTTCAATACAATTATTATTCAAAGAGACTTCTTGAAATTCTTGCATGCAGCCGCTAAAACACATTTCCCTTCGTCTCGGCCAATATCTTCAGATGATTGTTAATCTCCATTTTGTTTGGTGAGCTTGTCAACTTTTTTCAGCCGGCTTCCTTCGTGTTGTATTAATCCAATCTCTTTACCGATGGGGTTGGCATTTAATCAAAAATTAATTCTGACAAATTTATGCAATCCGAACTTATAATGAAGGTGTCATATTTGTATCCCTGTGATTTACCACCACCTCTTTAAAAATTAATTTTAGTAATAACATTTTGATTTATGGACGTAAAACCTGGCATTGGCCTCCGATGGCATAAGCACATTATGGGTTTTAAAGATAATGACATCAATATATTAAGCTGTAGGAGACATTTATCACTGTGTTTAGCTGCCAATGTGATCTTTATCATCCTGTGTTGATTTAAACGAGGCTAATCTAATACATCCCTCATTAGACTGTCTTTTTTTTCATTTACATCAAAATAATGCTCATATGTAATCAATTGAGGGCAGATTTGTTTTTGGTATTGACTGTTCTAGCAAAAATAAAAGGAAATGAATCACTGTAGTCAATGACAACATTCACTGTTTTGCATTTGTTTGTATCTAGACAAGCAAAAAGAGCCCTCTACCTGTCCTTGCATGCATTCACAAATACATAAAGAGCCTCAGAAAGCCCAAGACAGTAAACCAAAAGACGAAAAAGGTATTTGATATTGACTTGCAAGGTCAATATCATGCATGATGTTTTAAAATAAAATTTAAGAGCCTGGCCGCATTTTCGATTTTTCTGAATAACACAGTCATTCTACAGCAAATCACACTGGCTATGATAATTCATAGATGTACTGTAGTCAGAGTGATGCCAGTATCTTTGTGGTTTCTGTTGTAATAAATACTGTTTTCTCCATGCAAGAATAACTAACCAAGAGGTATTTTGCACTGTGTTCATGCAATAAATGGCATGCTAAAAATGTTATAATTGACTGGTGAATGATGTGCATCTAAAACCTAAATAAAATAGAAGGTAGGCAAGTGTGCGCATGAAAAGATGGTGAACTGTTCATACTGTACACTCAATTTATTTATTTTTTTGTTGCTTAATCAAAGTGCTTATTTAAAATGAGTTGAGAAATCACAATTCTTACGATTTTTTGGGACAACTAAATTCTTTTATGTTCAATCCACTCAAATTTGTAAACAAAATTAAGGCAACTTAACCTATTTATGTTTGGACAACATGAATGAATTGTGTGAAAGACTGGATTTTTATTCGCAGTGTATATAAAACATGCATGGAATATGAACCATATGGTTAGTTTCTGTATCAGCATCTAGAGAAAATCAAATGTGAGTTGCTAACCTTATAGATACTTTAACTGCACAGTAAAATCCAACTGTGAAAATCATTAAATGAAAAATGTACATAAAAGTTCCTTTGACTTAATGAAAAAGAGTTTTGGTAACTCTTGAACTGATTATATTAAAGAGAAGTCAAACCTAATAAGTTATGAATGAATGAATGAATGAATAACATTTTTTTACTTAATCTAGTAAACTTAAATCAAGGGGCGACACAGTGGCGCAGTAGGTAGTGCTGTCACCGCACAGCAAGAAGGTCGGTTGTTCGAGCCTCGGTCGGGTCAGTTGGCATCTGCCGGATGCTCCGGTTTCCCCCACAAGACATATGGTGAATTGGGTAAGACAAATTGTCCACAGTGTATGTATGCGTGCGAATGAGTTTGTATGGGTTTCCCAGTGATGGGTTGCAGCTGGAAGGGAATCCGGTGCGTAAAACATATACTGAATAAGTTGGCGGTTCATTCCACTGTGGCGACCCCTGATTAATAAAGAGACTAAGCTGAAAAGAAAATGAATAAATGGACTAATGAACTTAAATCTAATGCTAGAAGCAATAGCAAGTCATTTGAGTAGCTATATAGTTGTTTGAACATATATATAGTTAGCTATATAGTTGCTTGTTCTATTAACTAAATTCATTTCAATTTGATAACTGAACTTAAAGGGACTTAAAGGGCCTTATCATACACCTGGCGCAATAAGGCACAAGATGTGTTTGGCACAATTTGTTATTTTCAGACCAGCTCAACAATCATTTACACATTTTGCTCCAGCTTATTTAAATACCAAATGCATTTGGTCCATTTTGTGGACTTATGGGTGTGCTGGTCTGAAAGGAGGTGTGTTAAAGCAAACTGTTGGCGGGTTGCTATTTGAGGAACTGAAATAGACCGCGCCACTGACCGAGTGAAACGTAGTCTTAAGTCCAGCGCAGAGTGCGCATTGGTCATGTGCCTATGCACGTATAAAGTACTTACACGTTGCTTAATACACAGAGGATGTAGAGCAATACACAAATATCTTTACATATGAAAAAACATTAAAGGATTAAAATGTTACAAAATTATTATTTTCTACAAAAATACTAAAAAAACACTACCTAAAATGCCTTCTTCATGGCAGGGGGCTTTTTCCAGTTTATTCATGACAATTTGTATAATGTTATTATTAGTAGTAGTATTATGTATTACAGTATATGCATATTTATATTTGTTTTATTAAAATCAAGTTCAGATTTGTACACCTGTCGGGTTTTGGAGATGTCTGCATCACCAGGGCATAAGTATAGGACGTGTATTAGGATATAACTCAGTTTTTTTGACCACACTTCATTATTATTGTTTATTTATTCATTTGCTGGAAATTAGAAACGAATTTGTTAACAAATCTTTGTGCTTAACAAATGAAATTAAATATGTAGGCTAATGCATGTCTTCAATGGAGTGCGTACAACACTGTTTCCTTATCCTTGAAAGTAAAGGAGTAAAGAGTAAAAAAGAAAGAAAAGAGGCTGAATGGAGGAGGCTCCTTCTTTATCCTCACATAGATGGTTTGTTTAACTGTTTTCTCGCTAGTAAAGCTTTCAGTTTTTCCACTTACAAAGTCCGCTATGTAAATAGCAAATATGCCATGGCACGACGCAACTGACTCTTAAAGGGAATGGGAGATGAGACTCTGATTGGTTTAAAGGATGTTATGGTCAAGACACACCCTTACCCCATTAAGAAAATAAACACAACCCTGTTAGACCATGCGCTGGGGCGCAAACCATATTTTTCCATCCTTAAAATAGCAAAAGTGGATTTGGATATGCCCTTAATGCTTTTGCTCCATGGCTTTAGACTTTGAGCCTAGATCATTAAAAGAGGCCAAAAAGTTACTAATATTCTAAATGTTTGACAACATTAACACAAATAATTTATGTGTAAGATTACAGCACTCGAACCATTTTGTTTCAAAACTTAAATGGTTTGCCACAATTAGTTTACTCAAACAGTTTTAGTTAACTTATCTGGTTTAACAGTGTGCCTCTTGATGCCTTATGTAAACTCATGCAACTAAATACCATTTACAAATCAAAAAAGAGCTGGGTTCCACACAATTCATTCCAATACTGTCCCAAGACGAATTAAGTTATTTAATTGTTTTTATGATTTTAGTGGACTGAACATAAGAAATTAAGTTGTCCCCACAAAAAAAATAAGAATTGTGTTGTTTCAACTCATTTCAAATATGTAGTTTGAACAAGCAGCAAAAGTAATTTTTGAGTGCACATTGTCACTGGCCACTTTATGCAAATGCAAATATCTAACCAGAAAATAAATTTGTTATTATGTTTAAACAGAGCATTAAAATTGTCACTCACAGTAATTGAGTTTAGTTGACAGGCAGCTAAGGCTGGCCTGAGTTTTTAAGAAGAACTGCTTATATTCTGGGATATTCACATACAATTATATGAAGGTTTGATAGAGGATGATCATAATGCGGAGCTGCAGTTTTGTCTTGTTGAGTGGTGAATGGACAGACTGGTCCATGCTTACATATAGACAGCAGTATTACTGAACTGGTGATTCATGGCAGGATTGACCAAAGCTTTTATGACATTTCTGAATGACGCAGCAGAATAAAGCACAGCAATTTTTAGGTCTGCAAAACATATTTAACACTAAAGTAGATCACAGCAATCTACAGCAAAGACAACAACCTACAGTTTACTTATCTTATCTGATAAGTCTCGATTTCTCTGAAGATGGGGTCAGAATTTGGCATAAATTAAAAAAAAAAACTTGATCAATCCTGCCATGAACCACCAGTCCAGGCTGCTGGTGGTGTAAAGGCACAGTGGCACCAACTGAGCATCATTTAACCCAACAGTCTACCTACGTATTGTTGCTGACCATATCCATGCATTTATCTGGTGATGCTACTTAGAGCAGGACAACTGACAAGCTGAGCTTTCACACTCAAATTATCTCAAAATTATCTTGCTTGATAATAATGAGTTCACTGTAATTAAATAATCTCCACAATCACCAGATCTCAGTCCAATGCAGCACCGCTTAAATGTGGATGAACAGAAAATTTACAATAGGCAAAATGTATTTATTTATAAAGCACATTTAAAAACAGCCACAAGACTGAACAAAGTGCTATACATAAGACAGTAACATTTAGTGAAAATATAAATGCCATCGTATTAGAAATCTCAAAAAGATGAATGTTTTAGAACCTTGTTGAATCAAAGACATAAGCCAGTTGTGAAAGCAAAAAGAGACCCAATCAACTAGCAAGTTGTACCTAATAAAGTGGCCAGTGTTTTACAATGACATTTAGTTGGATTCAAAGAATGGAATATGGAAGAATGAAAAGACTGTACTCAAGTTTAAATTTTGCAGATCTCTCTAACCATGCATGAATTACTATACTGCACTTTAGAAACTAAAAATGAGAATGGAAAAAAAAACATATTTCTATTGTTGTATATTAAAGGTCCCGTGAAAGTTTTTTTTAGATGTTAGTATCAGTATGTTAGTTTTAAAGATATAAGCCGGTGTGCTCAAAAACAGTGACAAAATTTGCATTGAAATCTTGCAGTTTGTCAATTCCACCAAAATGGATCAATCGTTTTTTTGGCATCACCTCATATTTCAGTTTGTCATCAAATCTTCTGATCAATCAAACGCACTCTAATAACTTGTTCTGCCCCATTCAAGATGCTTCTCATTTGAGTTTCATTTATGCATTTGAGCTCAACATCTCACTAGCAGAGCTGTGATAAAAAACAAACACTATTGGCTGTTTTTTTTTTTTTTTGGAGTGACTTTTACTGTATATATCCTGCCATGTCTTCATGTTTCATTTGAGATTATGTCAAACATAAAATAACAAAATGGACATTTTAAAGCACTTCACGGGACCTTCAGCAGTCAGTTCTGTGCATCCAAAGTCACCATCTAGTGTAATATTAAAATGAAGCACTACTCCTTTTTCTTTCAGCTGAACCTGACAGAGTGAAGAAAAGAGGTAAGTGCAAAAAAGAGGTAGTGCAAAAAAGGCTGCAGCTATACTGCAAATGTTTGTAACGCATTTATTGACAGTTAAATGAGGACAATAACAATATTGTGGTGTCAATACAGGAGCTTTAAAGATAGTTGGATGATAGTAAGATATAGATGAAATCTTACCATTTACTCACTCGCAAGTAGTTCCAAACTTTTTTTTGTCTTTCTTTTTTCTACTAAACCCATAAGAGAAGATATTTTGAAGAAAGCTGGAAACTTGTAACCATTGACTTCCACACTAGAAAAAACAAATACGCTGGAACTGAATGGTTACAGGTTTCCAGCTTTCTTTCAAATTCAAATATCTTGTGTGTTCAACAGAAGAAAAAAAAAAACTCAAACAGGTGAAGCGAAAGGTGAGTAAATTATAACAGAATTAAACATTTTGGGCAAACTATCCCTTTAAAGCCCATTAAAATAAAACCAAAATTTAAGTAGAATTAGAAATGAGTATATTTCCTACATTTTTAGAAATAAAGGTACGTGAGCTGTCACTACCTTTTGAAAAGTTTGTACTTAAAAGGTCTATATAAATAACTCAATGGTACCTAAAGATACAAAAGTGTTCCTCAATGTACAAATGTCTACCTTTTAAAAGGTACCAACCCAGTGACATCTTGTGTACCTTTATTTTCAAGAGTGTAGTAGCAACCCACATATTTAGACAGTATATAGTCGTACTGTAGATATGAGGCCCCAGAATTTAACAGGCATTTAATAGTTCTATGACTAAGTTAATATCAAATAACTGGTATTTTAAACACTATATATGTCTATTTTTGCTCATACAAGCTTAAATTAATAGAATTAGATCCTTTAATCTCCTCTGTGGTCTATAATAATACACTCATCTGTTTAAAAAGACATCACTGAGGATTTTATATCAGTTAACCGCTGTTTTTTTCCTCACACTTGCAGCAGCTTTGGCAAACACAATAGTGCCCCCTGGTGCATATCTGTTAATCTAAGTTTTCTTTTTCAACCAAAACCCCAACCAATAAAGCATATATTTTCATATCAAGCCTGGGAAGTATAATATCAACTATGATTGCTGATACATATGGCAAATGTTTTTTTTTTGTTTGTTTGTTTTCCCCAGAATCAACGCACAGCATCAGTAATTTAGTCATTACAAATCAAAGTTTAAACTCTAAACAAAGCAGTTTAGGCTGATTTACATCTGACTGTTTTTCATTTCACAGCTAAAAGAGTCATCATAGAGCACAAAAGTATGTGAAGTATTGTTTTGTTTGATTGAAGCTGGTTTAGCTCAAGGCAACTGTCAATTTCTACATGCAAGCTGCTTGCTTTAACAATACAGCTCTCAACAAGCCTGTCCAAAACTATAGCAACTATAAGTAGTCAGACTAATACATTGATAAAGCATATTTGTGTATGCTTTAAAAACTTGTTAGTAAAATAATTAAAAGAGGCTTATCCAAAAGCCTTATTGAGCATGCAAGATGCGGGTTTTTCAAATTCAATTGCATTATGTTTGTATTTCCATAATCATAAATGTCCTCTAAGTTATATACTACATATACATAAAGCTATATACTACAAATACATAAACTATATAAAACATATACAGTTAAAGGCAAAACTTTTAGCCCTCCTGAGAAATTTGTATTCTTTATCAAATATTTCCAAAGAGCTATTTGAAAGATTTTTTTTTCAAAAAAGTTTTAAATATATTAGTTTAGTTAGTTAGAAGTATAAACAATTTCTATTGTCTTTGCCAGGATGAAAGTTCATCATATATTTCTAGATACTATGAAAGTACATACTATTTTGCAAGAATACAGCAGTTCAGCAAGTATTCAACTAGCATCCAAGTGCAATGTAAATAATTAACTAAGACAATTAGGTTAACAAGGCAAGGTTAATTATGAAAGTAAACAGAGGTTTGTTCTGTAGCCAATACAAAAAATATATAATTATTATGGCTAATAATATTGAACTTAAAAACCGTTTCAAAATATTTAAACAGATTATATTCCAGCCAAACTAAAAAAATAATAATAAACAAATTTTATAGGATATACTGTGAAAAATGCCCTTGCTCTGTTAAATATTGCTTAATATTAAAAAAAGCTGTATTTGTATATAGTAATAAGGGCTAATAATTTTGCCTTCAACTGTATAACGTATATCTGAAAACTAATTTTATATTTATTTAATATAGAAGCTGACACCAAGAAAAAGGAGACTCTGCTTAAACAGAGAAAAGGTATCCATCAGCTCCTTCAGTGTTATTGTTTTCACTCATATCTGCAAACACACCTATTTTAAATATAGATGTGTGATGTATTTGTATAACCATGTTTTCTTTTTCGTTTCTATTTCACCTCCTCACTAACATCGTCAGAAAAAGAGGCTCCAGTAAGAACAAGACTAGAAAAAGCAAAGAAAGGTAAAAGAACAAAGCGTTCCTGCTTATTTTTATCATCCTCCCCTGAAAGACACGTTTCAAACAATACGGAGTGAATGATGAATATCACAGACTCAAGTTTGCTCTCTGATCCTCAGCTCCAAAAGCAAAGGCAGCAGCTGTCAACATACCCAAAAAGAGTAAGTAAATCCACATGATCTAATCATGCTTCAACTAAAAGGAATAGGTTATCAGCAAATATACATTGTATATTTTTTTCATCTTCATAAGACACAAAAGGAGATAATTTAATAAATGTTTTGAAATGCTCTTTTCCATATAAAACATTGATTTCAACCATCAAACTAACAAAAAGCACAAAAAAATGATTATGTTTTCAACAGTAATGGCCGAAAGTGATGCACTCAAATATATTCGTCCCACTGTTTGTTTAAACTACTTATCTTAAGCTGAGCTGAAACAAAACAATTCCTGAGTTTTTGGGGGGAACTTAATTGTTTAATGTTCAATAGAAAAGTTTTTTTTTTTTACAGTGTGCATTTTTTAACAGTGCAGATTGGATATTTTCACAGTACTTGCTTTGAGGAATATGCTATATACAGCAGAAAACCAATAAATAAATAACAAAGTTGGTTAAGGTATGGGGCGACGCAGTGGCACAGTAGGTAGGGCTGTCGCCTCACAGCAAGAAGGTTGCTGGGTCAATTGCCGTTTCTGTGTGGAGTTTGCATGTTCTCCCTGCGTTCGCGTGGGTTTCCTCCGGGTGCTCCGGTTTCCGCCACTGTCCAAAGACATGCGGTACAGGTGAATTGAGGAGGCTAAATTGTCCGTAGTGTACAAGTGTGTTTTTGTCCTAAGCAACACCTCGATTTGATATTTTAGAAACGTCTATTTTTTGCACCTGAACAATAAGATAAACTACGGTTAAGGTACACCTCATGTGTTTTATTCAGTGGTAAATGCTAATAATGTGAGTTGGAATGCCATTTTACATGACATTTATAGCCATACTGCTGAAAACAGCAGCAGATAGTTCACCTCAGATCTTGAAAATAAAACAAATCGTTTGAAATTATAGAACTGAGACTCCGAGTCCAACACATATCAGTGAATCAGTATCTACATTTAATAATGTTAAAGAGGTTTAATATGTATTAATTAGATTATAAACTTTACCATTTGATGAGTGAGTGCGTATTCTGTGCTTCTGAATGGCTGTATTTAAATTTCGTCGTATTTCATCTGGTGAAAACAGAATAAATTGCTTATCACTGCAAATCTCTTCACGTAGCATGTTGTTATGACACAGGGTTACAATGTAACCTGGTCACCTAATGTTTACATTTGTAATATTTATTTTATTTGCTAATTAATAACCTCATGTGGAACTCTGAATCTGCGTCTCTTGCAGAGTCTGCTACTGTCCACCAAAGTTCACATTTTAGTCACGGGCGCATGCTTTGAGAGCCTTCCTGACTGAATGATTGAAATTTGGAGTTTTCAAGCAATGCAACTCGGGGTGCTGAAATATAACCAGCTAAACTGACAGTGGGCAGGTTAAAAGAACCAAAAAAAAAAAAAAAAGACAGCATTTCGGCACGTAAACAATCATTTTCAAAGCAGAATATCTGACTACAGCTTTGTTTTTCAGATAAACAAGAATGTTTACTTGGCATGTTTCTTAAATGTAATCAAACGTATTATGGCATTTTTAAACTTTAGAGGAGCCAAAAACTTAAATACAGCATGTTTAACTTATTTTAAAAAGTAATCAGGTTAAGTAATTCAAAGTTATACAAAGTTTAACATAATATTTTAGTCAGTTTGACTGATGTAAGTTGAGAGGACTAGAAAAGTTCACTTGATTAAACTAAAACATTTTAGGCAGGAAGAATGTTTTTTTTTACAGTGCATATGGGTTTAACTATGCACAAATGTAAAGTTGTTAATGTATATATTGACTACATAATAATAACCAGTTAATAATATTTAATTGGTTCTCCTTTGTGTTTTATAAGTAATCATTCCCTTTGAGAATGAACCATGCAACATATGTATAAATTAAATCAATATAATAAATATGTTTGAATAAATGAACCAAAAATATAAAGAACATTTCCACAATTTGTGCACTTTTTTATTTATTTGGCATTTAGTGGAGCCTGACATGCCTAAGTCACTATTAAATGAGAAAGAGCATCATGAAATCCTGCTCAAAATCTCCTTTTGTGTTCTACTGAAGACATTTTTTGATCAACATGAGGATGGGTAAATTATGACAGATTTTTCTGAACTATTTCTAGAAGTTGATGTTTTAAAATTCAGTTTGATCTAAAAATATGACAGCGGTGCTGTCTTTTCTTCTTATAACAGGATCCAGACCCTCAGAGGACATGGAAGTGTCAGCAGCTCCAGCTCCGATACAGGAGCGTAAGTGCAACTCAGAGCCTTGAGCCTTTTTATTATTACACTGCATTACATTCATATAATGCCACATGACAGCAGCAATAAGACGCAATCTACAATCAGTCCGCTGTAACTCTGAATCTTTCTGTCACAACTCTATATAACAGTTCCTATGTGCCGACCAACTCCTGTGTACTGCCCAGCGCCCCCTGGCTGGTATGGTGAGTAATGCAGTCACCTAGAATCACTATGCACTCAGACTTGTTCAAACTACTTATTACAAATGAGTTGAAACAACACAATTCTTAAGTTCTTTCTTGGGACAACTTATTTTTTTTATGTTCAATCCAATATAACCACAATCAAGTTAACTTAATTAATTGTGTTGGGACGACATAAAGGAATTGTGTGGAACCCAGTTATTATACAGTGTGTACTGTAATTTGAAAGCATCATTTAATAATACCCTGACATTTATTTCATCCTACAGTTCATCATATAGTTACCAGTAGCCCATTACCACCATCGGCTATTCCAGGTATCCAAATCTATTTCAATTCAAATGTATTCATCAAGATACTCGTTGTGTGTTTTTGCTTTTGTCGTAGGGTCTGCACCATATTGGAAAAAAAAACGTACATTGCAATATTTTCATTCACTGCGGTATATAATGCGTTATAAATGCAATTTTAGCAGATGACTTAAAAAGCTTGTAATGAAATTAATGAATTTAGATCGATTGGGATGATTCTGTAGGGAAGCATATTTGCATAAAATATAATTAAAAAATGTCAAAGTTAAATAAAACAGAGAAACGATGCAAATAAACAATGATTTATGATTTTACCAGCAGTATTTTCAAACGGTATTCAGATCCAGAAATAAAAAAATAACTGTATACTAATATAAATATGAATAATATGAATAATAATAACATGAATAATAACAACAACAACACAGTATCATTTTATTTGAGTAAATAATAATATAAATGTACAATTAATCTTTAAGCTACAAACAATTATTCTGCCAAAATGGCTTACAATTGCTTCACATTCTTATAGTTTACACTTAAGGTTAAAATCTGAAATGTTGTTAACTGAAATGTCTCATCAACTATAATCTCAACTACATCGCAGATCCCTGGGATTTGACTATTGCAGACTCACACATTGCTATATAGATTCAGTAGATGTGTGCACCTACACTGGTCTCACGGTTCGATTACGTTTATCATGCCATCGATTTGGTTGAATTCGGTATCTCTGTGAATCACGGTGAATTGACGATACTTTCCATACACAGTGTTATATTTTATTCACAGCACAATAATTCTTGTATTAAAATGTATCATTTATAAATGAATTTTCTGTGTATTTGTAATACAATTGTGTCCTTTAATACAAGATATATGAACCGTACCTTTAATTTTACCGGCTTAAAGAAAACACTCTTTTTGAATATATCAAAACTACAGTACATGCACAGAACAACATGAGCATTTACAGCAAATAAACAAACATAAATATTTTCCAACTTGCTTTTTGAGCATTGTCGAGCGAGTTGTTAAATGCTTAAGATTGGTCACGCACTTAACAGAGAGGGCTGCGATTGGCTCTAATCCTCTATAAGTGCACTTTAAGTGCAAAGTTCAAGCTAGGTGAACTCTGACCTGCCAAATTGCACCACATGACCACTTAAGACCAGTCAAAGATCAAGACCTCTCCGTAAAGAAATTTAAAATATGGACAAATCGCTCGCTTTTTAAAATGTCTACTCACCTTGCTAAATCAAGCCCCTTTTCGCAGCACCGTACTACAGAATTTTGCATGCTCGAACTCGAGTGTGACTGCGCCATTACACTGATAAACGGCAATGGCGATCACAGCTGATCCCTGATAAGGTGAAGAAAACTGGCTCAGCACACACTTGTTTCTGGATCCACAAGTATCACTGTAACAGCCGAGAGGAGAGAAACCATGTAAAGAGTTTCTGTATTTTTTAAGTAGTTGGAGAATTTTAATTACTCATGCTTGCCTCCCTCGCCATAGTAAACTATCATAATATAGCGTATATGAGATAAATGACGTCAGTGCTTAATAACTGGTTAGGATCTATTACTGAAACAATACCGAATTGTCGGCGTCTGGATCGTGGTGCACCAAAGAAACAATTAATTAACACCCCTATTGTGCAGCACTATTATGTAGTGCCACAAATCTAATTATTCACAGAATTACATTTTTTTTTTTACACTACAGTTTTCCATGTGTTTTTCAGAATCAGAAATTCCTATTTTAACAACTCATCAAGCTCCCACTATATTGAAAGGTGCTTGTCTTATAACGTATTTGGAATTTTATTTTATTTATGACAATATTGTCTCTTTTAAGTATCTAATTTAAAGTTTTGTTTGCTTAAGACCCAGAAGATGCAAAGGAAAAGCCAAAACAAGCTTCTAAAAAGAAAGGTAATTTCATGAATAGCACCAGTAATATGAATTGGCAACACAATCTCACGACAAATCTTAACTTTTTGTTTTGTGGCTAATTCGTATGAATTCATACAACTTCATTTGTGCAATTTAGTAAGATTTGCTTATCCCCCCCAATGACGGTTGGATTTAGGGGTGGGGTTGGGTATTTTTGTACAACTGAACCATACGAATTTGTACAAATTAGCCACTAAACTGACAAAACGTAAAATAGTTTCAAATCCTCCTGAGATCAGGGTGGATTGGGATATATTTTGTTTACTAGTTACAAGCATGTTAGCAACCCTGAGACAAAAATTAACCCCTGACTTCAATTTCAGAACCAGCTCCTCCGAAAGAAAAAGCCAAAGCAGCTCCAGCTAAAAAAGGTAAGAACTCATTTAAAATCAAAGGAAATATCTGAAACTAAATGTTATTAATTATGTTGGATTGATCATTTTTAATACATTTTAATGCATGTTTATGAATCTGCATTCATCTTTGTTTTTGCACTGTTTGTTACTAAGAACCCACAGTTACTAAACCTAAAGTAAAACCTACAGTGGCAAAGAAAGGTAAGGACAATAGAAAAATGGCCAAAAAATTACATTTTAGATCTATTTTCATACTAAATAAATCTTTTTTGTGTGTGTGTGTGTGTGCCTAAGAGCCAATAGCTGTGAAAGCGAAGCCTAAAAGGACAGGTAATTATGGTTCAGGAACTGGTTTGAATGTAGTTTTATATTAATGAGATTTAACTTACAATTTCCTCTTTTGCAGAGAGAGTGATCACTAAAGAAAGGGCAAAACCTTCTTCTAAGAGAGGTACAGTTCACGTTGCATATTATATATTTCACATACACGCTTTATATGTCATACATATTAATGCATTTATCCATTTATTTATTTACACTATCATTAATAAAGTTTACTAATTGATGCAAATGATTTCTTAAATTGACTAAAATGAACTTAAAAATCTCAACTAATACCAATTTGGTTGTTAAACAAAAAAAAATCTGAAATATTTGTTCTCTATCCTCTTTAGAGCCAGCAGTAACAAGGAAGGCAAGAGTTACAGCAACCAAACACAAAGGTAATCTCACATACTAATTACACAGTATATTTAGTATTTATTATTTAAGCTAATCTATTATCATACCTAAACCTAAAAGGGGTCCTATTCTTCTTTTTGGATAATATCAGATGTACACAAAATGTCTCTGTTAAGTATCAACTCACCTTAAAGATAACTTGGTAACATGTTACAATAATGTTCCATTGGTTAACATTAGTTATTGTATTTATCAACATGAACCAACAATGAACAATACATTTATCACAGTATTATTATACATGTGTCTTAATGTTAATTAATGAAAATAAAATTTTCATTATTAATTCATGTTAACTCACAGGTATGCTATATGAACAATATCACACGAGCAGTGCGATGTGGCTACTGCTACTCATGTGATATTGCATTTATACAACAGTTTGTCAACATAATCGTTAGTGTATAAATGCGCAGTACTGTTCTTTGTCATAAGTCGCCGTATCAGTTTAAACTTAGTAAAGTTGAGCTTCTTTGGTGATGATGTATACAGTGCTAGGTTTTAAATTTAGCGGCCCTTTGCGCTGTACATAAAGTGAATGCAAAGCATTGAGATTCAGGCCATTAAACAGCAGTTTAATGTTCTCTCTGAAAACACTCGATTGATCTCAGTTAGCAGATCAACATTCACCACAAGATCGCCATCATCGGCACCATTATTTGTAACTTTAGGTAGGTTTGCAAACATGTGTACTTTTCATTGCGTCTTCCCCAAAATAAACAAAACTTCACAAAAGCCCCTGTCATCTCAACTAAGTGCGGCTGGAAATTGTGAGCTGGTTGCGTCGAGTGCGTGTTCCTCCATTGGGAATAATAAACTTACCTTAGTTAATAATCTCAGTCACTGTTAATCCAGTGTGTGTGTTTGTGAATATTATTCTCGGCGTACAAGCTCAAAAATTTAAGCTAGCGCAAAGTTGGCATAACTTTTAGTTGCAGCAGTTTTTTTCTGTGCAGAAACGTGGTGTAGAGAATCCTTTACGATTAATTAACTGTGATAAATTAAAGTGCGGTTAATAGTAAACGGGTTAATCTTTGCATCCCTAGGCTGGAAGAGTGCTGTCACTGGCAGAATTTTGCATGGCTATCAGCCAATCTGATTCAGACAGAACTTTCGTATAAACAGCTGCAACAAGAACAACTTCAGAATTTATTAATGCATTAGTAAATGTTGAACTATGATTAATAAATGCTGTGCAAGTACTGATAGTCATGTTAGTAAATACATTAACTAATGCACATCAGTGTAAAGTGTTACCAATAATTTATTATATCATGCTATTAATGTCAGTTTCTGAGGTGTGGCAAAAATGTCTTCGTTTTTTTAAAATGCAAATTAGCTGCTTTTCCCTGCCCCCAATTTCAAAAAAGGGTGGAGCTTTTACTACTCTTGGCTTGGTTACTCCAGCAAAACAAAACAAATTTGTGTTTATTTTAAAGCTTTTTCAGGTTTAAATCTATTTATATAGTTTAATATATTTAATACACAATTTTCTCAGAACAAAGAAATGAAGTGAATACGCAGGAAATCTGTCAAACAGTGCAACTTGTGAGTATTTTAGCATTATTTTCTGTGCTAACAGTAAAACATTCACATTGTTATGTTAAAAGCACACAAAAGACACAAGTTCACCTAATGTTATGAATTATTTTGACTATAATGGCGAATGTAAACAGGTACAGAACAATGTATCAGTATTAAATCTGTGAAACAGCATCTATTGAAAATGAAAACATCACTTACTAATGCAACTCAACTAAGCCTTGTCCTCTTAGGTGGAAATTATTTAAATCCTGGATGTTGTATTGTGCTTTTTCAGACAAAAACTCAGAACTACAATGAGTTTGAGGGAGCTCAGAAATAGCGCTTCCTAATATAGAGAATTATTCCCTTTGGAGTAGACTTTTTTTTTACTTTGGAGTAACTTTGCTCAAGTTTTTCATAATCAAACAGCAACACTTCAAAACAAAGGAAGTCGAAAGTCTAAAAAAATAAAATACGGCCCTTTTAAAGTTTAGGAAAAGGGAAAAACTTGCTTTTTTACTAGTTCCTGTATACTACTCACTGAAAGAGCTTCAGCTGAGTGTTTAGAACTGGTAACAGCTATAAATATTTCACACTAGATGATATTTGCCTCGCTTCTATTGGCAAGTGCCTGTTAGCCACCCTGTGGCAATGTCATCATGTTTTCTGCCTCACTGTTTTATAAAGTGCTGGACATAAAAACAGGACCACAGAGTTTTGCTGAGAGTACAGTTTAGCGATCCCTCCTACTTCTTTCACCTTTAGCTGAATTCTGCATTGCTCCTCTACTTCTGTAGATTTCTGAATAAGGGCAGATGAAAACAATTATTTACTTTAACATTTCTCAATATGCCACTTTGTTTGATACCACAAAATCCCTGAAACACCATTAGATAAAATCCAGTCTTATGAAACTTGTCTTTAAGAAGTGAAGTTTGGATATTGATAAATATAATTAATGTCATAATACATAATTTTTTGTGTGTCTACATGTGAAGAAGAAAAATCTGCAAAGGTAGTGAAGCCCACTGCACAGGGTAAGTTGTTTCATTATATACTATCAGATTTACTGATGCTCATATTTAATTGGTTTAGATATAAAGACCCCCTGATATAATATTTTGATCAGTTAATATTTTTATTCTTATTTGATATATACTGTAATGGCTAGTCATTTTAATTGTAACCAGCAGGTACAGGAATAAAATAGTGGAAAAGAGTTTTGCTGAGAGTACAGTTTAGCGATCCCTCCTACTTCTTTTACCTTTAGCTGAATTCTGCATTGCTCCTCTACTTCTGTAGATTTCTGAATAAGGGCAGATGAAAACAATTATTTACTTTAACATTTCTCAATATGCCACTTTGATATGAAACCACAAAATCCCTGAAACATCATTAGATAAAATCCAGTCTTATGAAACTTGTCTTTAAAAAGTGAAGTTTAAATATTGATAAACATAATTATTGTCATAATACATAATTTTTTGTGTTCATGTGAAGAAGAAAAATCTGCAAAGGTAGTGAAGCCCACTGCAGAGGGTAAGTTATTTGTTTATATATTATCATTTACTGATGCTCATATTTAAGCGTTTCAGATATAAAGAACCTCCTGGTATAATATTTTGATCTGTTGATATTTTATACTTTTATTTAATATATACTGGAATAGCTCATTTCAGTTGTAACCGGTAAGTACAGGAATAAAAAAAGTGGATAAAACAGTGATGTTTAAAATTGGATTTATCTCCAAAAATAAAATGTTAAAATATCAACCCATTAACTTTTAAAATGGCCTTAAATGTCGAGTCAAATCAAAGTGGTGCAAAAAGTGACAACCCGCAGTGATAAGTGCATTTTGAGAAAAAAAAGATGTATATCTTCATAAGATTTCCCCCTCATTTCCAATTAGTAATTTTAATAAAAGGTCATGCGTTTTTGTGATGTCTTTATGCAAAATTAAAAGCATAAACAGTTCAAATATAATTTCATAACTTTTGCTTTTATTTAATAAGTGTCGATAATTATAAACACAATTGTATGCATGCATAAACAGTGCATTCAGAAAGTATTCATAGTGCTTCACTTTTTCCACATTTTTTATGTTAGTCTTATACAGTCTTATGGATTAAGTTCATTTATTTCCTCAAAATTCTACACACAATACCCCATAATGACAATATGAAAAAATTATTTTTGTAATTGTTGCAAAATTTTATATATATAACACATGTACATAAGTATTCACAGCCTTTGCATTGAAGCTCTAAATTGAACTCTGTTGCATTCTGTTTCAACTGAACATTCTTGAGAAGTTTCAGCAGCTTAATTGGAGTTCACCTGTGGTGAATTCAGCTGATTGGACATGATTTGAAAAGGCATACACCTGTCTATATGAGGCCCCAGGGTTGACAGTGGCCTCCATTATCCGTAAGTGGAAGATGATTGGAACCATCAGGACTCTTCCTAGAGCTGGCTGGCCATCTAAGCTGAGTGATCGGGGTAGAAGGGCCTTAGTCAGGGAATCAATAACTCTATGGTCACCCTGTCTGAGGTTTAGCGTTCTTCTAAAGAGAGAGGAGAACCTTACAGAAGGACAACCATCTGTGCAGCAATCCACCAATCAGGTCTGTATGGTAGAGTGGCCACTCCCCACCAGGAATTTGCCAAACGGCATTTGAAGGACTCTCAGACCATAAGAAACAAAATTCTCTGGTCTGATGAAACTAAAATTGAACTCTTTGGAGTGAATGACAGGTGTTATGTTTGAAGAAAACCAGGCACTGCTTATCACCAGGCTAATACCATTGAAGCATGGTGGTGGCAGAATCATGCTGCGGGGACGTTTACTAGTCAGGATAGAGCAGTGGTTCCCAACAGGGGGGTCGTGGCCCACAAGGGGGCCTCAGCGAACTTTGTGGGGGGGTCGCATCATATTAAAAAAAATCTTTGCAGTCGACAGTTAGGAGAATGATCATGTTGTCTCAGTTTGTTTTATCCCCTAGCTCAGTGGTCCTCAACCACTGGTCCGTGGATCAATTGGAACCGGTCCGCACAAGAAATCATTAATTATTGCTGTTTTATTTATTATCTGAGTATGAACAATCTTTCATTTTGAAAAGTCTTTTATTTTGAAAAAGACCGTATTCTCTCGCTTAGGTATCGGTCACTTGAGCGCCCAAATTTAACCCAAAGCAGCAAAATGAGCAAAAAACAGACGTCTTTAGAAAATTTCTTTGCTAAGGAGAAATGGCCCAGTGAACGACCCGCGAACTGCCAAAAAATAGATCCGCAACACACTTGTCAACAAATCAGGTAACTCCAGCATGGCTTTGCAAGATTAACTGATGGAGATTGCAAATGACAGCTGCTTTTTAGCGGCCGTTCGCACATCGCGTATTTTTAGAATCTGCACAAGTTTGTTGTTTCCAATAGAGGTGCGTAGCTTGTGCGCACAAGTGGCGTGACACGCTCACATTAATGAACCCCGGGCCGCAAGCGCACTGCGAGTCACATGACAAGAATTCACCAATCAGCTTCAGCTTGTATGGAATATTCACATTTCGGTAAGACAAATGCTGCTCGGGTCGCCACAGCAGAATGAACTGCCAACTTATCCAACACATGTTTTACGCATTGGAAGCCCTTCCAGCTGCAACCCATCTCTGGGAAACATTAGGCTGTTATTTGTGCATAACCATATCTAGATATAGACATAAATAGATATAAAACATAACGTTTGCTTGAAAACTAAAATTTTTGTCATCATTACTGAAAACTTATATGAGCGATTATATCATTAAATGTGGAGGGGGGCTTTACTATATTTTCTGGAGGGTCTCAGCTAAAAAAAGGTTGGGAACCACTGGGATAGAGGGAAAGACGAATGCAGCAATGTACAGAGACATACTGGATGAAAACCTGCTTCAGAGTGCTCTTGACCTCAGACTGGGGCGACGGTTCATCTTCCAGCAGGACAATGACTCAAAGCACACCGCCAAAATATCAATAGAGTGCTTTCACAACAACTCTATAAATGTCCTTGAGTGGCCCAGCCAGAGCCCAGACCTAAATCCTACTGAACATCTCTGGAGAGATCTGAAAAGGTCACGCAATGCCAATGGAATGGGCAAAAATTCCCAAAGACAGGTGTGCCAATCTTGTGGCATAATATACAAAAAGACTTGAGGCTGTAATGCCAAAGGTGCATCAACAAAATATTGAGCAAAGGCTGTGAATACTTCAGTACATGTTTTTACATTACTTTCTTTTTTCTTTTTTATAAATTTGCAACAATTTCAAAAATCCCCCATTATGGAGTATTGAGTGTAGAATTTTGAGATAATAAATTAATTTAATCCATTTTTGAATTAGGCTGTCACATAAAAAAAATGTAAAAAAATAAAATAAAATTTTTTAAAAAGTGAAGCGCTATGAATACTTTGCGGATGCACTATACAGTATATTAGCAGTGCCTTACTGTATAATAGATAATGTTTATGTTTGATCACTAGTCAAGAAGAAGTCTACCTCAATGCTTAAAGCCAAGCAAGCCATTAAAGAAAAAGTTGCAGGTAAGTTTTAATCACTATTTTAATCAAAAAGACTGAAAGACTGAAAAAAGAGACAACAATCTGTCATTTTCATGGCTAACAAGATTGGATCTACAGGAGGTTTCTACAATAATTTATTCTCAAACAATGACACATTCAAATAAAAATTAAGGGAATGTTTTTTTTTATAAATGTTTTTAAATCATTAAGTTTTCATTCAAATTCCATTGTTATGTGAATACGGGTACATGTTTTCTTTATTCTTGTAAACGAACTAGATAATCACTATAAGGTGGCTCAAGCTAGTGCTGCACATTATATCATTTAAGCCTTGATAAAGCAATGTGTACATCTGCAGTGGTCACATTGCATGATCTTCAATGTCAGGTATGGGTTATTGTTGACCAGGAGCTTGTTGGTTAATGGCAAAGTTTAACCATTGTGGATTTAAAATTTATAATTTGTAGTAGTTTTATTTTTTTTTTCCGGTAAACATACCAAGTGAGTTTAAAGCATTTGGGCACAAGAAACAATACCATTTGTAGCTAATGAAGGCTAGATGTAGCTAATGAAGGTTAGATTTTTAAATATTTGTGTCATACTGTGCCAAAAAAAGCCTCATTCGCACAGAGACTCGCAGCGGCAAAGCAAAAAGCAACCATTAATTTCAATGAAGAGTGCAAGACTTCCGGTGAACTGTCTATGCGAGCGACCATTGACGACCAAGTGGGCGTGTCGAGCGATGCTACAAAGTTAAGAATCCTTCAACTTTATGCAAATGAAGAGTGACTTGAGCGACAGCCAATAGGAGCACCAGTAGAGCTCACATGATTCTCCCTTACTCAGAGGCCACTTGTATTCTCCAAACTGTAGACCAGGGATCACCAAACTTGTTCCTGGAGGTCCGGTGTCCTGCAGATTTTAGCTCCAATCCTAATCAAACACACTTGAACAAGCTATTCAAGGTCTTACTAGGTATACTTGAAACACCCAGGCAGGTGTATTGAGGCAAGTTGGAACTATAAACCTTGCAGGCACCGGACCTCCAGGAACAAGATTGGTGACCCATGCTGTTGATTTACACAGACCTGCGTTTGCAGCAGGTCGCCACTCAGAGCGACAGGCAGCTACAAAGTTGCTGCTAGTGTGAATGAGGCATTAGACTTACCAGAAAAAAGTAGCAGCTAAAGCACTTTTTTTTTACTCATTTATGTTTTTTTTATTCTAAAATCTTGTTTGAATTGAATTTTAACTAGTTTATATTAATTCCTCCAAATGCAGTCCCCCTTTAAAGTCACCCTAACCATTTTGAAATAATGAATTTTGCACAAATTGAGATATTCAATACATCTGCACTGCAAAAAAACTGCTTTTCTTTTCTGATTTTTTTTTCTTACTTTTAGTCCAAACATCTAAAACTTCTTATATAAATAAGCTTTCTAGACGAGCAAAGACTGTTGTCTTGTTTTCAAAAATAATGAACCAATATTAAGTGAGTCTTTCCTTAAAACAAGCAAAATAATCTGTCAATGGGGTTTGCAAAAGAATCATGTTTTCCTTTTGACATGAGATTATTTTTCTTACCCCATTGGCAAATTATTTTGCTTGTTTTAAGGAAAAACTCACTTCATTTGGGAAAACAAGATGATATGTTTTGCCTGTCTTGAAAATGCTTGTTGATTTAAGAATTTGTAAATATTTGGACTAGAAACAAGACAAAATCTAAGTAAGAAAAACATTTTTTGCAGTGTAGTGAAATGTATTTCATATCCCAATACAGTTGAAGTCAGAATAAGTAAACCCCCTGAATTATAAGCCCCCCTGTTAATTTTTTTCCTCAATTTCTGTTTAATGGAGAGAAGATTTTTTTCAGCACATTTCTAAACATAATAGTTATAGTTACTCATTTCTAATAACTGATTTATTTTATCTTTGCCATGATGACAGTAAATAATATTTCATTAGATGTTTTTCAAGACACTTCTATACAACTTAAAGTGACATTTAAAGGCTTAACTAGGTTAGTTAGGTTAACTAGGCAAGTTAGAGTAATTACGGTTATATAAGTTATTGTATAATGATGGTTTGTTCTGTGGACTATCAAAAAACAATATAAAGGGGCTAATAATTCTGTCCTTAAAATGTTTTTTTTTTTTTTTTTTATTAAAAACTGCTTTTATTCTAGCCGAAATAAAACAAATAAGACTTTCTCCAGAAGAAAAAATATTGTCAGACATAATGTGAAAATGTACTTGCTCTGGTAAACATAATTTGGGAAATATTAAAAAAAAAAAATTCTGATTTCAACTGTATTTCAGAAAAAACAAAATAATGCAAAGTGATTTATTTTCCAAAATCGTGCAGCTCTAGATCAAGCCATCAAAAAAGAAAGAAACGAAAATTGACTCCAGTTGGCACAAGAAAATTGTATCTGTCAGGAAATATAAATAAAATCATGACAGAATTTCTTTATGACGAATAGTGCATTGACTGTGTAATCACATAACTGAGCATGTGTTCCTGACTCATAAAGAATAGAAATAACTATGATTTTCAACATGACTTAAAAAGACAGCATGAACACCTGAAGTGTGATATTATTGTAAGTGTCACATTCATGTGTCAATGTGAAAGCATGGTAGATTAAAGGACCGTAAGGTGACAAGTCCTATTTTCCATTACTTCCAGAAAAACCTGAACCTGCTGAGAAGAAAACATCTGAAGAAACCAAAGGTAGGAAAGAAGCACACAGTTTTGCTCAAGTTTCTGACTATGTAGGCTGTGCATTGAAGAGATAAGTCAGTCAAAAAAGCAAAAGCCTGTCATTATTTATTCACCCTCATTCACCCACACACAAAGATGAACTCAAGAATTGAAGAATAAGAAAAATAACTATTTTAGCCATTTCATTTCAGCCATCTGACTCAAGAGTTTTTGTATGGCAGTTAATTTATATTATATTATATTATATTATATTATATTATATTATGTTATGTTATGTTATGTTATGTTATGTTATGTTATGTTATGTTATGTTGTGTTATGTTGTGTTGTGTATTATATTATATTATGTTATGTTATGTTATGTTATGTTATATTATATTATATTATATTATATTATATTATATTATGTTATGTTATGTTATGTTATGTTATATTATATTATATTATATTATATTATATTATATTATATTATATTATATTATATTATATTATATTATGGCGAGGCAGTGGCGCAGTAGGTAGTGCTGTCGCCTCACAGCAAGAAGGTCCCTGGTTCGAACCTCGGCTAAGTTGGCGTTTCTGTGTGGAGTTTGCATGTTCTCCCTGCCTTCGCGTGGGTTTTCTCCGGGTGCTCCGGCTTGTCCCACAGTCCAAAGACATGTGGTACAGGTGAATTGGGTAGGCTAAATTGTCCGTAGTGTATGAGTGTGTGTGTGGATGTTTCCCAGAGATGGAAGGGCATCCGCTGCGTAAAAACTTGCTGGATAAGTTGGCGGTTCATTCCCCTGTGGCGACCCCGGATTAATAAAGGGACTAAGCCGACAAGAAAATGGATGAATGAATATTATATTATAATTTTTTATAATACAATTTATATTATTCGTTCTGTAAAATATGGAAAAAAATACAGCTTTAAAGGGGCTAATAATTTTGATCTTAAAATGTTTATTTTAAAAAATGTAAACAGTTTTTATTCTGGCCAAAATAAAATAAGACTTTCTCCAGAAGAAAAATATTATCAGGCATGAAAAATGTTCTTGCTCTGTAAAACATCATTTGGAAAATATTTTAAAAAGAAGAAAAAAATTCAGAGGGGGGCTAATAATTCTGACTTCAACTGTATATGCAATTTCACCAGATGACTTGAATAGTTCTATGCAAATAATTTATTCATTTAGATTGATTGGGATGATTCTGTAGGGAAGTGAATCACACATGAAATGTAATAAGCAAAATTACAAGCATAGATAAATGCAATAGAGCAAATAAAACAGTGGAATAAACAGTGCTTTTAGGTTTTCAGGGTATAGTCAAATCATATTCAGGTTGCAGGTAGAGAAATTCAAAAAGCAAATATGAAATAACACTTAAGACTTTTGCTCTTTAAATAGCTCAATAAAATACATTTCCATTAAATTTTAAAGTTAATTAGTTTAGTTAGGCAAGCCACTGGATAACAATGGTTTGTTCTGTAGATACAATAAAATATATTATTCTTAAGGGGGTAATGAGCTGTTTTTTTATCTTTCATTTTTTTATACATACCACATTTAATAAAAATGTACATCATTTAAAATAAACGCCATTGTGAGCTCATAAATGTGTTAAAAACAAACTCTGCTGGAATCCATCTAAAAAGTGTGATTAGCTATTTGGAAATTGCTTATGGTGAGCTTTCCAAATCAATCACTTCTAAGCTTCTATTTCAGTTAGAATATAGGTAGGCGGCGAGACATTTCTACGCTTTGGAATGGAGCCTAAGTGTTCCATTCCTTTACAGGTTAATCTCCGCTAATCATAATTCTGTCCTCGTTTATTTTGTCTACAGAGAAACCAGCAGCCGAAGCACCGGCAGCAACCAGTAAGTTTAGATGTTTTCTGTCGTCTGTGAGGATGGTGTGAAGCTTCCATTAAAGCATTACATTAAGTGTGTGTGCAAATCGATAATGCATCCATTTGTGTAAGCAGTTTACAGATTACATTTTGAAATACATTTTCTAAGCATCATCATAGTGATCCTGCATATATACCTGCATATTGTAGAAATTGGGAGAACTTCAAAAACCTCCAGGCGACACTGAGGTACAATTCTATATACACCAAATATATTAACATCACCATTTCAATAACTCAGACACAACTATTCACTGTAAAATCAACGAACCACACTGTGACTCTTCTGTGGTTCCTGCTTATACCAAAGAGATTAAGCTATTTTTAAACAGCATTAGTGAAATAGAGAAATTAAATGCAGCTATTAATAAACTAATGCTGCTGGCTGCTTGGCCTTGCGTGAACTCATATTGTCACTTTTCCACTAAAACACCTGACCAGTTTTTTTTTTATTTTACAACACAAATTGCTTGACTTTTCTTGTTTAGAGACTGAAGGTCAAATGTACTAACTGTTGTTCTATTTCAGCATGTTATTACAGCAAAAGCTCTTTTTCATGAACCACTTGCAGTCCAATTTAACAAGGGCTGCAATAACGAATCAAATCGATTAAAATTGATTACTAAATACGTTGGCAACGAATTTCAAATTCAGTTCGTTGTACATTTCAGAGACATTAGATTATTAAAAAACTTTAGTTGAGTTTGGAGTGGAGTGAATACAGGGCTCAACACTAAGGACTGCCAGATGGCCCGTGGCCAGCGTGAGAGATGTTCGGGACAGTAGAGAGAATCGTTACTGGCCCGATCAGTGCTGCCTTGTCACAAAATTTTAAGATGCCTGCGACTATTTGTCAATTGTGTACAAATACAGTCTTGGAATCGTGAAACAATTTATGCTTTTAAGACTTTGAATGCTATTTTTCTGTGAAGTCGTAAACACCATATTGCTTTTTGGTTCCCTTTATCTGATTGGATGTTGTGAGCACGTTATTTTTTTCCACAACCTGGTAAAAACCAGTACAGTGAAGAGATGGCAACATCAAATTATGAGGCTAGTTTCTAACGTTGTGGAAACAGATATTTACATGGGTACAACACCTAAAAACAAAAAAGTGATGTCTTGCATAGTTTTCCATCACTTTTAAGTCAGCCACCTATTGTTATGCAATAAAATACCTACACATTTTCCATACTGCTGTATTTTACTGCTAAATATTTTAACATTTTTAAAGTATTTAAATTCTAGATTTACAGACATTATTTTTGACACATTATTTTAAATATGTGGCTAAGAAATAGATGTTTTTTATTTATTTATTTTGGAGGGGCCAGTAAATATTTTGGCAAGGCAAGTAAAAATCAGTAGAAAATGTCCTTAGCGTTGAACATGCTCTGCCTCTCTCGCCTCATAGACAGGACGGAGCAAAAAAAATGAGCGGAGGTAACGTTAGAGAAACCATACATAGCGAAGGCAGAGAAATCTGTCTGATCCTAGTCATCCAATGTGTGAAAGCATTTCACACTAAATAAATAAAATTTGTGTGTAAATGAACAAATATGCAAAAGTGATGATGAAAGCACCACGGCAATGACTTATCACCTAAAACTCAAGCATGTTGGAGTCTTTGATGAGGAGAAAGGGAGCACCAGCAGGGTAAATCACTACAGAATCCTACTTTTGTTCCATTTTGAAGTGAGGAACGTAATATCCCTGGTTCTGGTGTTTACTTGTTATCCAGCTTGAGAAGCATGACATGAAAAATCCTGATCGAGATCATTTATACGCCTTTTAAAACCACAAACACTCACTTATATATTTTGTATTAAAATGGAAAAACATAATTAAAGGGATACATCTCTTATACAGCGCTATTGTGGCTGCAGTGTGTCACGTGGCAAACATGACGCGTCGCCACGGAAACATTAAGGTTGAGCATTCTAAAATAATGATCGCTAATAACAAAACTCGCTTCCGGGGCCAGATAGAATATTTTTAACTCACCAGTGAAAGAGTTAATAACAGAAGAAAAGCCAAAATGGTATAGTTACTTTGCACTTTGCATTGCAAGACTAAAGAACTGTTTTTATTCACTCACCTTTTTCCTAAAAAAAAGTTTTTCCTACTTATAATTTCATCTTGTTTCCAGTCCAAATATCTAAAAAATCTTAAGTCATGACTAAACAAGAAAATTGGCATGAGAAAATTAAGTGAAAAAACTTTATTATAACTTTATTATAATACTTTATTATAACTTATAACAAAAGATTATAACTCACTAAAATTATTTTTCTTACCCCATTGGCAAATAATTTTGCTTGTTTAAAGCAAACAGTCACTTATTTTGAGGTGGGTTTTTTTTTTTTTCAGAAAACCCTACCCTATTTCCTACCCTATTGTAGAATCAGCAGCAGGTTAATCTGCCATTCACAAGTCTTACTTGCAGAGAAACCTCCTTAGGTCTTTGGATAATTATGCATTCAGACGTTAATGTCCAAACACGTCTTTATATAAGTTCAGGATCGTTGTTGCAGATGAAATATAAAACAGAAAACTTGATTGTAATATTTTCCAGTGGGCTAGATATTAATTATCAGTCATACAAACATTTTTACCGAAACCTGTCTACTTGACGTTTGGTCTCACGCGTCCATCATGTTTATAGTTTGTTTACACTTTTCACCCACATTAGTAGTTCTAATCAAATTCACGCCCAACGCCCAATGTACTGTTGGCAATATCAGTGGTTAAAGTATGGATCGTTCTACACCTAAATGTTTTACTAGAAATAGTAAACCATGCGGTAACCTTTGGCATCCTCTTTTCAACATCCTACGATTTGGGACATACCAATTCTATTTTGAAATACTATTTAGGATAGATAGTATGGGAATTGGGAAGCAGCTAATATTTTGTAACTCCCTTTTAGGCTTTTTGTGGCTAGATTGTGCCATTTTAGTGACTGTCGATTTAAAATCAAATCAGATTGTGCTCTTTTCAAAATAGGGTGGAGCTACAAATAGTGCCACAGTGGCAGATTGAAAACAGGACTAATGTAACCTATGTGAAAAAACTGAAAAACTCTAAAGAATGGGCTAAGACGAAGGCAGTCTATTGAGACAACAGTGTTCAATTGAGCATTCTAAAACTGTACTTGTATAACACTTCTAAGTAGGACAGCTGCTTCTCACTTAGGGCTGTTTATGCTAATGAGGTAAAGATCATTACAAAAAGGTAAAGCTTTCCCCATCTGCTGATATGTACAAAGGGAGAATGTCAATCAAAGTGCCTATTAGAGGCTGGATATACTCACACACTTTTGCCACAGAACTGTGCTTAAAGTTGCAGTAAGTGATATTCCACAATGCTAACAGCTTAGCATAAACCTCTGAATCACAGTCCCTCCCCTGCCGTCTAGAGCCACACCTCCTGAAACACAAGCAGCGCAAAAGAACCCTCTCTCATGTGTTAAAAGTGACTAGTGCGTGTCCGGTGTGCAAGCCAAACTGACATGATACTTCAGAGCAAATATTTAGAGTAGCATGGTAAACAGTATATGGAGAGACTAGGCGGACTAGGATTTGTTGTTAAACTAATAAAATCTACATCATCGATGTTATAAAAGGCCCCTTATGAAACTGAAAACAGTCTTTCATCGAAAGATTTTAGTTTTTAACACTTCTGTGAAGATATAACCCATTTACATCGGCTTTACGTGAAGCTAAAACAGTTTTAAAACAGAACATTACCCGTCTAAGAGAAATCTCCAGCGTGCAAAGGTAACTCAAATATTGATTTAGGTTTTTAAAAAGTTTTGATTAAACTATGTTTTTACCGGAGCTGCGTACAAACGGCTGCGCAGTTGTTCAAATCTGCATTTGCTGACAGACAGATTGGGCTACTTATCGCAATTATTAAGAGGTGTCGGTCCGACTCTATTTAATTGAATGAACATTTGTTTTGTTTTATGCCTTACCCAAAATTCTAAAATACATATAAATACATTTAGATCATTTACTGTAATCATTACTATTAGACTGTGAAGAGACTTTCAACCAGCACAACAACAAATGCTTCTGAAGACAATCACTTACTGCACCTTTATTTCTATCTATTTCTATTTTATTATCCATATAAAATCCCATCAGTCACTATTTGAAAGCCTGCTTTTCATCCATTTCAAGTAACTTTTGAAGGTCATTACTTTAAAATTCAAGTCCTCAGCTCTTCCTCAGTGAGTATTTGCAGATATCAGGGTCTGCCGCATGTAAAAACTGTTCCTCTGAGAACTGAGCTTTGTCATGTCACCTCTTAACAACTGATAACTAAATGTCACATTAACAGATATTCAATCCTTAACTGAAAGTCCTTGTCCGTCACTTAAAGATTTTCCATTACAGCGCTTAATATTATATGCTGAAATTAATCTATTGTTACTCAATTTCTCTCTCTCTCTCTCTCTCTCTCATTAATTAACTTTAATTAGAAGAGTTGAATGTGGAAGAGAATGTGACGGAGGGCAAAAAGCCAGGTAAGTGAAGCTACATCTGCACATCCTTACTTTAATCAACAGTATAATGATTTTTGCTGTAGAAATTGGATACTGTAACAGGTTTTCAGATATTGTTAATTAATTAGTATATTGTTATGTTCAATTATACACATCATGTAACTTTAAACTACCAAGGCTATATTTATATGACGAAGTAAAAATTGTCATAACATCATTACAATTTTAAATTATAGCATTTCTAAATGAATAGATCTGATGACAACTCTGATTTTCACCTTTCAAAAAACATCTCAAATCATTATCAAAGTTTCAAACAGTAAAACAGCCATGTTATTTTGTTCAATAAAGATGGAATATAAATGAATAATTATTGTACAATCTTAAATTGATTATAATTATTTTACAATTTATACTATATGGTGCTTAAGAATCCGGACAGTTTCACAGTTTTCTTTTTAATTTTACTTTACATTTATTATTATATAAAATTATTTAACAGTAATACTGACTGATTGAACGATTGACCTACTGACTGATTGAACGATTGACTTACTGATTGAGTAATTGATTGAAGGATTGACTGACAAATTTAAGCATTGATTGACTGTTTGAACGATTGTTTTACCAATTAAAGGATTGATTGACCAATTGAAGGATTGATTGACCGATTGAAGGACTGATTGACCGATTAAAGGATTGACTGACTGATTGATTGACTTAACGATTGAACAATTAACTAAACAATTTACTGACTAATTGAGGAATTGACTGACTGACTGAAGGATTGACTGACTGATTGAAGGATTGACTGACAGATTGATTGATTAAAGGATTGACTGACTGATTGATCGACTGAATAACCGATTGAAGGATTGACCGACTGATTGAACGACAGAAGGATTGTCTGACTATTTGAACAATTGATTTACTCATTAAACGATTGATTGATTGAACAATCGATTGACTGACTGATTGAAGGATTGACTGACTGATTGATTGAATGTTCAATCGATTGATTGAACAATTGGCTGGCTGATTGAACGATTGGCTGGCTGATTGAACGATTGGCTGCCTGATTGAACGATTTACTGGCTTATTGAACGATTGACTGACTGACTCTGTTTGTTGTATTACAGGCAAGATACCATACTTCCAGTGTGTTTTAATGAGTTCGAAATCCGGTCAGTATCCACTGCGACCCATGTCCCCTGCTATGAGTCCAGCTATTAACCCCACCATGATGAGAGCCATGATGGAGCAGCGGGCAGCATTACTGCAGCAGAAAGCCAGAACAGGCGGTCAGTAGCTGGACGACAGACCTATCCAGCCCAGGCATTAAAAACTGCTTATGAACTGCTGTTGAGACAGAGCTGCTGCTGTTGTGCTCTCAAGAGCAATCCACTTAGACCATTACAGATACTTTAAAAATTATGGTTTTCCAGTCCTCCATCATGTGGCATTTGAATTAGGTCATTTTTTTTTTTAATTTTGCTAAAAATTAACATCAAAACTAAATAATCAATGTACATTTGGGAATATAATTAACACATAAAAGCCTGTCAAAAAACGTGTTAGTGGTTAGATTTGTTTTTTATTACTATTATTATTATTGTTATTATTATTAATAATCAAGATCTTAAATCATCTGTTTACATTTGTTGCAGGGAATATGATGTATGTTTTTTACTCAGCGCCAGAGCAAATTTAGAACTGCTTAAATATTTAAGCATTGCTCTAATTACTCGAGATATTTATTTTTCTATGTCAGAGTATATGATCCCATTACGGAAAGAAATCTAGCAGCGCACATTCACTAAGGGCCCTTATCTTTCGGTCCAGGCCATTTCCTGCTAATAAGATTATGTGTAGTGTGTCTGGGTTCTACCAGGGTCTGCAATCTTTCTGCATTTGTATGCATGGCCATTAGAAAACAGGAGGACGCCATTTGGACCGAATCCGATTCCTATCTTAGCCTATGAGAAGAGCTTACATCCTCATAGAACTGAAAGAGACATTAAGAAATGAAGGCACACGAAAGCCAACAGTCACTAAATAATAAAAGGCTTTCTCTGTATACTTGACTGAGACTTCTCGAGTATATGTCTTGAGTTAATTGAAACTCTTTACTGGGAGCTATTAGATTTACTGAAGTGAATTTAATAGTGTATGTCTTTGTTGAAGATTTATGCACAGGTTAAGCCAAAAGCAATTTTGCTACTTGTGTACAGTTAATGCATACAGTGTTTTACAGTATTTATTATATTATTCTAGATCAGTGGTCTTCATCATTTTTTAAACTGCAAGAATCTCTTTGTGAATTGGCCGAAAGTCTAATGTGTATGGCACAATACAGTATTGGCATACGTTGTTTTGTTTATCAAGTGAAACAGCCGTTATTATTAATAATATTTAAAATTAAAAAATGAAATAAATTAAATTTATTTTGATAAATGGTGAAACTTTCAGAATTTCTGTGGCCCACAATACTAGCAAACATATAATCAGACAAAATAACATTAAGGCTACGATATAGTCAACCCCACACCCTCTTTTTTATGTGTTTTGGGTTGGTTTATTTACTCAGTTTTACTTTAATAATTGTGTTTTTGTTTTTTTTTTGTATTGTACTGCTTTTATGTTAATGCTCTGTATTTGATATTCATCTGCATTATTTACAAATAAGAAAAATCTATAAAAGGTTTAAATATTAAAATGCAATAGATATTTAGAATTAATTAAAATATAAACAATGATTATTATCAATATAAATAAGTCATGCTCCATGTTCTTGTAGCTTACTTTAAATTAGGCATGGGATGATAACCGGTTTCAAGGTTTACCGTGGTTTGGAAAAGTCAAGTTTTAAAACCGCCAGAATTCTGGTATATCGTTTCTTACAGCATATGTACAGTTTTTTTTTATGTGTTTTTTGCAACTATTTTATTTAGTTTTTTTAGAACAACAATATCTCCAGCAGTAAAGGACCTTCTACATCAAGTGCTACTAGTCTAAAATATTTGAAATGTTTCTTAAAATAAAATATATTGTTTTTAATGTGGTAAAAAAAAATTGTTGTTTTCTACACAGACACTTAAAAAAAACTGAAAGAAAGAAATGCACAATACTGTGCAACCCTGAAACAGTGATATTTTTATCCAAGGTTATCACACCGTCACAATCTTATACCAGCCCATGCCTACTTTAAATATATAAAATTTTTTATATGTTGATAAGACAATTAATTAAGCATTATAATAATTATATACAATTATAATTAATAATCATTATGCTAGACGGTGCTTACAGAATTTGCCAACTAGGATTTTTGAAGGTAAAAAATTATGAAAAGATATGAAATCCATTGCAAAAATAAAAAGGCATGTAAAAATATGCTGAATCCAAACTGCAGATCTAAAAATCAGCACCATGATTTTATAATTTTCTTTCAATCTTACATTTGACTTTAATCACGATCGCAAAAAAACAGTTTGCTTCATGAAACATTTTTTGTCCACCTATTTTAAATTAGTCCGACATTTTGCTTTATTTTGGTAGCCTCTTTGCCTTAAGCTGTGTAAACATCATCAAATTCAAATAAATTCTTGAGATCAGCCATTACATTTTGAGTACTAAAATGTGGTTACCAGCTGATAATTTAAGGGATAACTAACTAAAAAGCAGTCCTATTAAAGACCCTTTTTCTAGATAACACTGTACTGTAAAACACAGTAGCAGAATAATGACAATGTTTGTGTTGATGACATTACTTTGACCAACAGTGATTTTTTGAATATGGTGATCCGAGGTCACGATATATTCTTGAAGGCTTCTTTTCCTTGTTATTTTTGCTCTGAACAGTGCAATTATTGCAATTATGACAATTTATTAGCCAGAAATACTGTGTCTTATCCAAGAGCACAATGGCGTATTATTCTTTATTTTCAGAAACTTAAGGATTGGTATGACCTAAAATATATTTAAGGTTTTCAAAAGTATCAGCTTTGATACCAATCAGTACTGAAATGTTAAAATTGTGACAATACTAGAATTTACCGCTTTTATTTTGACCTCTGCAGAGTTCTTGAACACTGTTGATTGGCCATTGAATTAACGTGCTTAGACCTGACTGTGTCAACCATCAGTTTATCTATCAGTAGCAGTGTGTGAATTTTACACAGACTTTTTTTTTTTCAGTAGTACGCATGCGCCCGTGAACCAAATTAAATTATTTTATTCAATTATCTCATTGGTCAATCAAAAGTTTTCAGTATTTTGAAAAAAAAAATAAAAAATTGGATTCTGACCTATAGTGATCTGGGTTATTTCAACAGTACATGGGTTATTTCAACTGATGGGTTATTCTCAAAGATGAACTGTGTTTAAAATGCAGAATTTAGCTGAACGATGAAAAGTTTGCATTTCTTCACAAAAAAAATGGAAGATCATAAAAGACCATCCTATGCATTTTACTGTTTATCTTCCTTGTGCAAGCATAGGCATCTTTTAAATACACACTACACTGTTAAAAATGCTGGGTTTCATACAATCAATTTGTGTTGGAAATAAGTTAACTTAGTTTTTACACATTTAAGTAGATTGAACATAAAAGAATTAGGTTGTCCCCAAAAAAACTCAAGAATTATGTTGTCTCATCTCTTTTTTTTTTATTATTAAATAATTTTTCACCTTTATTGGTCAGGACGAGTATTGACAGGAAAGCAGGAGAAGCAGAGAGAGGGAAAGGATCGGCATAGAACCGCAAAGCAACTCGGGTCGCCATGAGCATATTGACGCACTAACTACTACACCACTGGCGCCGACCAACTCATTTTAAATAAATAGTTTGAACACACATCAAATATATATATATTTTTTTTAATTAAGTGTTTGCGTCCAATTGTACTTTTACGATGTAGATACAAACACCTATTTTGCATGAAAAGTGTGTTTTGAACACTTACTGTGCAGTAAAATGAACTGAAGCAACACAATTCAGGAGTTTTTTTCGGGAGGAAGGCGGAGGATTTAATTGTTTCATGTTCAATCCACTTAAATTTGTAAAAATTACTAGGTTTAACTAATCGATATATGTTGGGACACAAGGAATTATGTGAAAGCCAGCATTGTTTACAGCGTATGTTAATAAGTTACTACTGCTTCAGAAGGTTCCAGAGAATGAAGTCCAATAAACTTTGGTTCCGACCGCATTAGTTTCTAAGCAAAACGAAAGCAGAGATTGATTACTGCTGTGCCGGTTAGCAGTTTGTAATTTAAGATGTGCACAAGTTTACAATACTTGAAGATCAAGGCTATTAACCTTCTTCTATAAACATCATGTTGAAATTAGACTGGCGCTTAAACATCTAGATCTGCCAGTGTTCAGACTTTCAGATTTCCGGTAAAGCCTGCTGGACATGATGACATATTTATATTACTTGTTATATGTATTAATACTATTAATATTTAAAATATTGATCAGCAACTATCTCCCACTCTTTAAAGAGCAGACCCAGGTCTTGTTTTGACATGTTTCAGGGGAATCAAACCCTTGTAATTTGCAACCTGGTCAATGGTTTTCTCCCACATCTGCTCGTGTGCAGATCCTACAGTATGATAAACACGGCTTTTAACTGGAGCCAATCAAAGTCATATCTGTTAAGCATGTGAACTCAATGGCCAATCAACAGTGTTTAGAAACCTGCTTAACAGCACTCAAAAGGAAGAAATGGATGTTTTTATATTCCACTGAAGTGGAATAATATCTAAATGACAAGACCGATAGTGAGCAGCCGGTGGTATTTCTAAATGCCCCTATGCACACGAGCTACTGTACATATGGTCATGGAAAGACTGCATAGTGTTGATACAGTATGTAGTGATTGCAGCAGAAGGCTGTTTCTCTTTAATCAGGACATAGTGAGACAGATAGCTGTATCTGTGTGACTTTGAACAGAAAAGTAGGACACAAAATCATCCCACTTTGAAGATACAGCATGTAGAGAGGATGTCAACTTTACTTTGGATATCCCTGTGGATATATTTACTGTGGATATATGTGTAGACTATGACTATAATGACAATGATTGATGACATTATATAAAATATTATATAATGACATTGTATGAAACATGCATAAAATTCGTTTTTGTCTGAAACTGAGAAAAATCACTGTCTTACCATAAATGAGAGACAGTTTACAGTGAAAATGCCATTGAGGTCAAGTTGGTTTTATATTCGCACAGACTTTTCTTAATATTATATTTTCAGAAAAGTATTATTTGCAAAATCATAATAGGGAAATTATACTTGCTGCCAAAGACTATCAAAGTTCAACATTCTTCAGTGAATTAAATAGTGCTAATGCTGTTTCGAAGTCATACTTGCATGCTATTTCTGACCGAATTCTCAAAGTAACATGGTAAGCAATACAGGGACCGTGTCACAAGATGTCACTGAACGAATATGTGAACATAAAACCAACTTTGCCTCAATAAAAATGCCATGTTTACTAAGTAGAACCTCATCTGTTGATTATCAGAAGGCTTTGAACATCATAGATGTACAAAATTCACTTGTAGATCTAAAAGTAAATTTTAAGAGGTGACAGAAGACGCTCTAACAGTTTTTGAATGTATTTTGTATTTGCATGAGCCTTAAGAAAACCCATGTGAAAGTCAGTCTCTGATATGTTTTCAAAAGATGCTGCTATATCATATTTTTCATGAGACTTACAGTATTGATGTGATGTTGCACAGCTGGGATTTGTCAGTTATTAAGGCACATTGAATGTTTAGTTGATAACAGGATAGAATTTGTGGTTTGATTTATCAGGTTTTTTTTGTAGGGCACGACATACTGAGCTGTAATTTTTCATCACCTCGTAAAGATCTAATTAATTCAAAGTTTTAAATATGTTAAACTGTCATGTTTCACATGAATGTTGAATAAGAGCTGTCAGTACAACTAAAGAAATGTTTCAATGGTTAATCACTGTTGTTTTTCTTTCATGCACATCTTGTTGGATTTTATCTTGGAGTGGGCAGAATTCTGGAAATAAAGTAATTGCTTTGTGCAAACGTCTAAGTGAAAGATTTTCTTTTATTCATATACTTGGAAAGTTAATATTTCATTGGGAGTAATAATATATGACAAGTCAAAAGTGTGAAAGCAATTTATAAATAAAAGATTGAGGGGGGAAAAGCAGCCTGTAATTTAATTTGTTGAGGTTTTGATATAAATGTAACACCAAAATCTGACTCTTCCTTTCCTACAAAATGATAGCTGCTTAGCCTAACACTGAAAGTCATAAGTATATTATATTAGGCTCAAATCTTAGCAAAAATGTTGCCCATACATTTTATGAGCAATAATATGTAGGCTAAATAAAGTGTCAAATGTACAACAAAACGTGTTTATTATATCAATACACTCTTATTAAAAATATAAACTCATCAAACTTCTCTAATTAAACCTGTTAATTTGCTACACATTTTAGCTAACATTGGTCTCAGTTCTATGCTCGCATTATTTAGTAACCTTGGGCGTCTTTTAAACTTCAATACAAACGATATGTTTTCCTAAAATGTACTAGTTAGCCTACTAAAAAATACTTAAAAGTTATTGTGTATGGCACGAATTAGCTATAGCTTAAAATGTTAAAAGATTACTATTACCTTACCTTGCATGACAGGAATCCAGGCATCAAACACACCAAGGAATATCACCTACAACAGGATAATCAAACTTTTGTCACACACATTAGCTCTCTTAGCTAACTTATTCTCACCATCACCAAGCCACACAATAACGTGGTCATGGATTCTGGGTAACTAGCATGCATACTACGAGTATGGCAGCATAGTAACTCAGTAGGCAAATTCGTCAAAAACAAATGTCAAAATAATACCTTTTGTTTTTTAAGTGTTTGAACATTTTATTGCCCTTTGTTAATTCTCCCTAATTCACCATTTGAAAAAAGAAAAATGCCCATTCACCTTCACATAATTGTGTTTTCAGGTAACTGAAAACAAACATATTGGAGATAACTTCATTATATATCATTAATAAAATATTTCAAAAATCTCAAATGTTCAGCTATAAAACTCTGGCAATTTTAATGAGCATTTAGGTCTGCGTTTTTAAAATATATCTTCCAAGAATCATTTAAGCCACATTGTTCTATGCAACCAGTTGAAATATCACAGAAGTGATAAAAGTTTATAATTCAGATTTAAACCCAAATGTATATTACAACAACTTACCTTTTGAAAGTGTAACTGGAGAAGTAGAAGGCGATAAATACTGTTAAAATGTATTTTTGGTTTTATCAAATTCGTTCAAGATATGGATTTTTTAAAAACATTTATTCATCCAGTAAGAATCATGATTTGTTCTTTTTTATGAGTAGCCAGTAGAAAAAAAAAAATCTAATAAAAACATTTATACTTATTATTATTATTATTATTATTATTATTATTATTATTATTATTATTCATTCAATCTTTTTCTTTTCGGCTTAGTCCCTATCTGGGGTCGCCACAGTGGAATGAATCGCCATTATTATTATTTTTATTATTACTATTATTATTTTTACAAATTAAATCTATGAATTCAACAATAAAACATTTATTTTAAATTCTATTTCAAGGGACATTCTACGAGAAATATACAATACCTGTACCTGAAATAAAAACATAAATTGTGAATAAAAGCAATTCATCCCAATAATTTCTGAAATGGACTGATGGTTGATTTCTGCGAGTTGTTTTGCATGAATGTCATTCATTTGGTTCTCAGATTTTTGTTCTTTATTAAAAAACACTTTACAAATGTACAAACCCTGTCATCGTCCTTGTCCTCAGCCTCATTGAACCAGCTTTTAATAGCTTTGTTATGCTAAAAGCTGTTATTTAGAAATTAAAAAAAACTTCAGAAATAGCAAATTTAAGTTGTTGTCATTCACATCAATTGATTAAAAACATGAATATATAATTAAATTCTACAAATAAATACTGAAAAAAAAATCCCTGGTTGCCTTAATTTTTAAGCTGAATCAAATAAACCTTATGATTCCATTGAAATTATACTGTGTTAAATTGGCTTGTATTTATATAATTTTTTGAGGAGGACAAGCTTAAATGTCAGGCCCTGTCACATTTTTATGAGTGAAATGTATGTTTCTGGTATGTTAAAGATGTCTCTTAAACTATTTTAAAATATTTCCATTATCAATTTATCCCTGCCTTTAACTTTAAGAGATTGCATGTCTGGGCA